ACTGTAGACAATCCAAAGATGCAATTAAAATGGCCCAAACTGTGCAGAAGATAATAGATAAGTCAAGGATTGTTCTCGACTGTAGAATGAGTTTGGCTAATGCATTTGGCTATTAAAAATAAGAACTTCATAAAATGAAAAGTTAATAAGTGCGAAATTAAGAGCCTTAGTTTTACTTTAGCTTGGAGTCGCTCTAAGCGCTCAACTTATATGTTTATGGGTCAATTAGGTGTTAAGTGCTTGAACTGCAGGAATCTGTAATAGTTTCGCCATTTCTTGGCTATTCGCAGACATATATCTATAAATGCAGAGCCGCAACCTGTTGGCAGGCGGTATGTGTGTGATGTGCCTGCCTCTGATAGCATCAGCAAACTGAGCACTTAACAATTCGTGCAATGGCATTTTTGGCATCTCTACTGAATGTGGATGCTGTGCTCCTTTTAGCAGCTTGCAACATTTTGCGGATCATGCGCAGAGAAAGCAAGAGCACATATACTGGGAACAGTTTGGTTTGGTTTGGTTTTTTTTGTAAGGAGAGAGCGACAAATGTGAGCATTGCATTCGATGTAATTCACCTGATAATTAGCAGTGCTGAACGATCAATCTTTGCCGGAAAGACAGACCAAGAAAGACACTGAGCACACACTGTAAAAAGACCAGTGACCAGTTCTGAATGCTAAGCCTTATGTCAGTGCACAAGACCAAAAGTCAACTCGTAATAATGAAATATTATTAAGCGCATGGGAAATTGCGTTTCGGCTTTAGCCCTTTAGCCTGAACTCCGCTTATCCCCCCCATTCTGCGTCTCTCTGTCCGTCTGTACATCTGTGCGTCCGTGCGCAATTGTGGGATTAAGCTAATGAGGTGTGTTGGGCACCCAGTGGCCAGCTGATTGATGGCCATGATTATTCAGCTTGACAGGCTTACCAGTTGTCCAGCAAATGCCTCCCTGCCACCCACACTCAAACTCAACTCTCGGCTCGTATTCAACCAAGCGGGCCAAAAGCAACAGCAACAGCAACATTCCATCCATGGAAATTATCTGTCCCATTGCAAACCAAAATACATTTATTACGTCGCCTTCGGCACTCTTTGCATATGCAAAATTACCCAATTCAAAATGCATTTCACTCCATTGCTGTGGGCGGGATGAGAGGGCGGAGTGCATGTTTTCAAACGCAGGCGTGCGACACATTGTTGGAACCCTTTGCTGGCTGTGCCTCACCTGGCCTGATAGGCGCCCATTCGATTTGGGTGCCATTTTATGGGCGTTGTGCTGGAGGACAAGAAGCACCCAAAATGCTCGTTCGAGTAGGTTCCATTAGCCAAACTTTAGATACTTTCATATTTGGCTGGGGAATATTTCACCTTAAGTGGTTGGCCATTAAATTTAATGCTGTAATCAACTTTTTTTTTTTGCTGAAAAACAAGTTTTTTCACTTAGCCCATAAGTTAAAAATACAAAAAAAAAAACTCTACTTATTGGTACAAAAAAAAGGAACAATTTGCTACGATATGTCCAAAACTGTTGACAAGAAATCATGAATAGGATAAAAATCATCTCTGATGAATATCTTTTTTGAATTAGGTCGAAATACGAAACCAAATATTTGCTGCAAAATGAAACTTTTAAATAATGGACTTAATAATTGATGAGAGCTTTAAATATGAGTTTAAACTCAATCTAACTCCAATCCATATAAACTTATCCTCCAATTTTCCATCCACCTGGATGGATTTTCCGAAATCAATTAAATCAACTTTCACATGAAATACATTTGAGGCCGCATGGAAGCAAAGGAAGCTTGCATGTTATTTATATGAATACGTATTCCTATCTGCTCACACATAACTTGTATGCCTATGCCTCGACAAGGCGTAAAGAGTACTATAATTATTGAGGAAAAGACATCATAAAATATGAACGAACATTTCCGAAACTGACGAGAAGTTTTAATTGCTTTTCCGCATGCAACATATATATCTATATATATTTGTGCAGGTATAAAATGTATATGCAGCATCAACAACCAAGTGTAAGTAGTATTTGAGCAAACCACCTGAGTCACCTCGAAACCCACACTGGTCAGGTACGTGCCGAAATGTTATGCAATACTCGTGTACTGACAACGAAGAAGACGTTCTCCCAGCTGCACAACAAACTAGATTGTATTTGTGGAATATGTACTTGAGGATGTGCATAACGAAGTCGTAAAGGAGCCAAAAGTTCAGCTTGGAATGTCATAAAGTTGACAATGCTTACGGCTGACAGTCAGAACTCCCCAGGACACAAACACGCCCACACACCCAAACACGCCCACACCCACACACATACTTGAATACTATGCAGCATAACAATTCAGCATAAATTATTAACACCTTAATCAAACCAAACCTTTGGGTTTAAGTTGTGTAGGGTGAAAACTTCATTGCCAGCCTGACAACTTTCTCTTACGGAAATTTTGATGTTAATTACTCGAACTCATGTGCATTCAGCATCAAACTTGCAAATTGTATTGCGCACAAATTCATACAAAATACTGTCTTCTAACGTTATGCATATTAGATGTATTTTACAGCCAGATAGTTAGGGTCGTAATATGCTATGTGTAAATCACATGCAGTTTGTTTCACTTTCAGCTACTGCAAATCTAATGGCATCGTTTTTCATTGAAAGCTAAATCTCTGGCCAACGACACCAAGGAGACCAAGAAACTCGGTAACTCGTTGCAATAAAGAATTGAATTTAGTTTTGTTTCCGACATTTATGTATAGAGTTCCACGGGCACGTCGTAATCATTTGCGGCAGTTGTCTTATCGTTGAAAGCTGGCTTGGCTTTGCTCTACAACCCCAGCCAGTCACATCAATTTCAGTTTCAGTTTTAGTTTTTCTCTCAGTCAGTCGCAATTGCAGATTCAGTTTCAGTTTCAGTTCTAGTTCTTGTTCTTGTTCTTGTTCTCATTCCCTTTTTTGGCCACATTGTTGACTTGCCATAAAAACAGATGCAATGCACGTGGAAGCATCAAGCGTTGCAATTTCGCAAATTGTCTTGAAATGCTACAATGCATTTCATTCCTTTTGCTCAAAACCGCCCCCCGACCCGCTCACAACGCCCACAGGCGTCTGACCGGAATTATGAAAATGGGCGGGGCAGAAGTTTAGCACACACCAGTTTGTGAACTTCACAGATACACAAATCAAGCAACTGCGAGACTGGCTGTAAAACTTTGACTAGTTGTAGTTTTAAAGTGTCCGCAAACAACTTAAAGAAATCTAGTTATTTTATTATATTCTATAGAATTATGCAAAATATTTCTTTATTCATTGATATTTCACAAAGCTACAAATGCAATAGACTTTCCAATTACACAATTTCACAAAATAACAAATTATAGATAAAACGACACAATAAAATATTTTCAATAATAAATAACCAATTTAGCTTGTCAAAGCTTCTGTGTATTTCTAATCATAAATATCAAAGTCAATGTAAATATTATAATTATAAAAGTAAAATTGAGAATCTGAATTTTATACAATTAAATGAAGTTTGTAAGTAAATTCAGTTTGTTCTCGAGTTCACTTTAAATTTCTCACATTTTCCACAAAATATCCTTTAATATATTATGTTTGTATAAATGTTACTGCTAATTGAGCAGCCGTCGAGTTGTGTATGTACTTTGTACTATATAAATTAGTCAATTGGTGTGTGGGTCCAGCAGTTAATGTTGCACAGCAATAGAAAATCCTTGGTGTGTGTGTGCTGTGGCGCGACACAGTCTTCAAAACTGTTGCCACAGTTGTTAGCCATAAAAAAGAAATGCTCATGTTACGAGTTTCGTGTAACGCAACTTCAAGGGTAAATTAAAGGGCTTGTACATGTAGTAAATACAGTTTAGCACTGACTCAACTACAACGAGCATACACTTAGTTAGAGAAAAGTAATTTAGGCAAAAGCGCTTATATTGGCATCAATTCGAATAATAACCACAGTATGAGTGCCAGCTACAAAAGTCTGCAAGGTTTCCCTATTTAATAACGCAACCCTCTTAATTGCAATCAGCAGTTTCCTAACATTACGAGTAGTCAGCATTTTGAACATCTGTCGGCTCACATACGTAATTTACTTGCATACACACACATAGGCCTGGTCTATGGAATCAGAGAAAAAATCATCAAATTGAACTGAAAGCCGAATTTTACTTCGTATATTGTGAATACCTTTAATTTGAATCTAAATTGATTTCCACTCTTTCATGCTCAAACTATTTCAGTTGATGCAAAGGACATTTACTGAACTTGTGTACACATCTACTAGTGCAAACTATATATAATTAAAATATGAATAATTAACTTAATTTCATTACAAGAGCTTTATTTACGGACAGTTGACATTTGTAAGGAGAAGTTTCCTTCTTCTGAATTTAATGAAACATCAGTTTTTATACTCTGATAACAAACATATTTGAAGCTAGAAATCTATCACTTGGGCTCAGACAAAGTGTTAAAGTTGGAGTGCTTCGCCGTGAGACTAGGAAATCGATAAAATCGATAATTACAAATCGATTAAGTCACATATTTTCCACAATTTGTAGACTGCTGTTACTTGCTGAAAGCAAATTAGCAGGCCACGCCCAAAATTTTAAAGCAAAAGACCCACAGTTAAATTAAGGCGGCAAATTATTGATTATTCCAGGCACTATTATCAACTGATATTAGACAGTTATCAGAGTATATCGGAGTCGGTTACGCCCGACTGCAGCGCTCTCACTCTTTTCATACTACCAAACTCACTCAAAAGGTGTTTTAAATCGCTGGCCTTTCATCAAAAACTTTCTTGAAGACGGTTGGTTGAAATAAATTGTTTTTGCTGGTATTCCCTTGGGATATAGTTCTTTGGTATGCCATATACTTTGGTTTTGATTGTATTGTTCAACGTGTTGAACTTGTTCTTTTACAACAATTGGATTGGGTTTGGATCTGTCAATTTGCTTGCCACGTTTCCAAGTTATAAACTCCCCAATGGGCTTAAGAATTAAGAAATAGATCAGTTCAGCTATTGAGATAACGCTGAATCCCAAAAACAATCCCATAACGCCGCCAATGTTTGCTGCATGGGAAAAGTGTCATGTTAAAATTGAATAGAATCAAACGGGGCAAATAACTTACACAGAAACTCAGTAAAGCCAATGTACACATTTGTCATAGTCCCATAATAGGCTGACTCCCTGTAGTATAAATTCATAACGGCAATGTTATCCAGCAAATACGTTTTGTTCATATTCGCCACCAGTTTATTAGCAATCTTAAAGTCCCGTTTGGCCAGGGGAAAATATAACGCATCCGCCTGGTATGACAGATCAAAGCAACTAGGCAGGCACTCCTTTCGACAGCTCGCCGTCTCATTTCTATTCTCAGGACGTTTGGCTCGATTAATACAGAACGCATCCTTCACACTGCAAATGCTGGCATTGCTGAAAATTTGCGGATAATTGTGGGGAATGCAGTCGCAGGACTTGTACAGAAACATTGTGATGCATTCCCTTTCACAGTCCAGAAGTGAGTAGACCTTGTGATGAATCAAGTTCTTCTCATTCTGAAAGACACACTGACGATCCACCTGAGGTATGGATCGAATTGCTTGCGTCGCTTCAGATCTGCTAAACTCCATGCGAAAGTTCGTTTCGTAGCCAACGCCCACGACAAGACCTTCGTCTTTAACATTTGGTAATGTTGTGGGATTGTGGAATAAGATCTGCAAAAAATAGGTGATATTTTCTATTCAATTGTTCTTCCCAAAAAGATTCATTATGTTCCGATCGGCCTACAGACCTTGAATCCAGGTCCGTTCGTAGATGAGCAGTAGTATTCGCTCAGCTGGGCATCGAGAACGGCAGAAAATCCCATTGTTATACCAGTACCTTAATAATAAATAATGTATTTGGAAATCATAAATTATATTTAATCATTTAGTTTACCAATGGCCGGAACTGGATAATATTTTTTTGGTAATTTCAAGGGATAGCCGGTCTCCGGATCCCAGGGCACAGGCTCATTCACAAGACTAGAGGTTAAGTTTCTAGTGTTTTTCGAACTAGGACAAAATGTGATTACTTAAATTTAGTTTGACTGCCTAGTTAAAACACTTACGTTGACTTATATACAATCTCCGGTGGCAGAAAATTAAATACGCAGCACAAACCTTCATCGGTGATTATGCGCCGAAAGAGATGGACACAATCATATTCCTCACCATTCAATTTGCAGTGTCGCAACATTTGCTCACAGGGCTGGGCATGATCCGTTAGAAATTCGCTCACTTGCAGATTGTTGTCGCCCAAAAAAGTGGAGAGCGGAATCGCATCTGAACCGTTATCATCCTCCGTTTCGAAAGAGTCTTGTGAGCAGAGTAGTTTCAACAGATCTTTCTCACTGGACCCACTGGATTTGTGTGTCAGATAGGCATATATAGAAAAGTATGTATTATATGACGTTTGACTTACTCCTTATAATGCTGGACTTTACTGCGTTGCACCTGATTCATGTTGCATATAGTTATGGCCGGAAATGGCACCTTCCGAATCGATGTGGCATGTGGACTAATGCCAATAATAACTGGTGTACTATTCCACTTGCCATAAATATTTGATATCAGGTGGCAAGTCAGCATAAATGCGGCCACAAACGCAATGAAGAAAAAGGATCTGGAATCCACCAGACATAAGGTATGTCGACAGTCAAATTATTATTAAATTATTCATATTTACCTTTCCCAGATTCTTAGCGATGAGTCGCCCACAAATTTCAGTCCATGCAATCCAGTTTCCCTTAGAAAGTTACTTAGACTTTTCGTAAAACTATTCAGTAAGAATGAATAGTTTTTTTGTCTTTTCCGGTTGGATTCCATTTCGACAATTCTTACTTCTAAGCAGCTACTTATTAGTATTTATAGTCTATTGAGCCCATTGAGCGATTTCGCTTTTCTAATTGAATGCGGTCAATTAAACGGAATACTTTGAATACTAATTAAAGCAGTCTATTGATTGAAGCATTTCAAGCAATTCCTTTGATTAATTTGTGGTTCCTGTTACACACACTAAGGGGACTAATAAGTATGTAAGACACACACACGCCCCCACATGGGCAGAAAATGATTTGACCTCGTTTTAATACAAAGACGAGGGTTGCTAGGTGCGACTAAGCATTTATGTTGATAGGTTTCGAATTGCGAAATTTATGTCAAATGTATGCATTGGTATAGATATTGAGTTTAGTGGATAATATTTGCAATGACTACGACACAAGCGAGCGAGATTAAATATTGATTATTCATTAATGGACGCAAAATATATCGTGTATATATAAATCTTTGAGGTATCCAGCATAAAAGTAAGAGAACTTAACTTTTGTGACTTTAAGTTTAAATATGTTTGGAATTTTAATATATAAAAAAAATAAAAAATAACACTTGATCTGGAACAAGCGCAAAATATATTTAAATTATTAAACACTAAACACTTATTCATAAAGCAGAACCAGATTTCTCGCTACATTAAGTACACATTGTGCATCTAATGGTTATGTACAAATAAGTACTTTTGTACATCAAAATGTACACTTAAGCCACAAATATAGCAAATTCAGTCAATCATTGTATGCATATTTGTATTTCTATACAATGAAATTGAAACAAAACATTTACCTTTATCTTCATCATATTCTTAATCATTGCTCATTGTGAAGAAAAAAACAAAAGCTTTTCCACAGCACAAGCTTAAACTCAGCCAAGTGAGAGAATAACAAATAGACTTTACTCGTAATGCATACAATGTTTATATAGTTATTTATTTATGTTATTCAGTCTCATTGTGGGGCAAGCATTGATAAGAAAGCTTTGCTCCACACAACAAAAAGCTTCTGCACGTGATTCACAAACCGGTTAGGGAGAGACGGTGCTATTTTTATTGCTCGTTATTACAATTAAAACAGTTTCAATTGAGTGCGGTCGGAATGAGGGTTCGACGCAATCCGCTTCCACGCCGGCTGGTGGATATCTTGTGTTACTTGGTCATTGGCGTATTTCTGCCAATTGTATTCATCTTTGAGATTATTGTTGTGCTGCCACAATTCCATGCACCTGGCAGTCTGCTACACAGCTTCACCTTTCTATTGGCCATGTTTATGCTGTTCAATATCAAGGGAAATATGGTGGCCTGCATGATGATTGACACCAGCGTTGACAGTGAGTTATACAATTACTCAATCAATTATATTTATATATAAACACTTTTCATAGAGCTCGTCGAAGCACCGCCAGTTGGGTCAGCTGAGCGTTTGGAGTGGCGGCATTGCACAATCTGTGATAAATTAGCACCGCCCAGATCGTGGCACTGCAAGGTGTGTGGTGTTTGCATATTGAAACGAGATCATCACTGCCTCTTCACCGGTTGCTGCATTGGACACGAGAATCATCGTTACTTTATGTGCTTCATATTCTATTTATTCGTCGGATCGTTGTATGCCCTTGCCTATAACTCTGTGTTCATGTGGGTGCTGAATGGGGATATATACTACAAGTGGATAACTCTCGTTAAGCTACTGTGTCCCATGTCCATGCTGGTCCTGGGCAACTTTTGGACGAATCTACAACTATTTTTCTATTGCCTGAACATCTTGGCACTGTTATATGCACTTGTCATGTTGTGGTATCATGTACCCATTATGCTGCGTGGTGAGGTCTGTGCCGAGAGTGGCAAGCCACACAAATATAATAATGGACTTTTGCTCAATCTGCAAAGTGTTTTTGGCCAACGAATGCATGTCGTTTGGCTATCTCCACTGATCAAAAGCCCCTTGCCCGATGATGGTTACACGTGGAAGATCAGCTCTACAGAAGAGTTAGTGCCTACCAAAAAGTCAAGTTAGCTATAGCATCTGGAACTTCCCTTTAAATGTTACTTATTTATAGAAAATTATAGAAATATAAATAATTTACATGTTATTAAAAGTTATCACTGTTTTATCTTAACTTTAAGCTCTGCAAATTTGATCTCAATAACCTCATTGACTCTTATGGATTGACAGAGAAAAACATTACAAATTAATCTTCGAAATCAACTTCAATATAAAAAGTGTTTTTTGCCAACGCTCTTCCAAATCTTCATTCCGATTCAAACTAAAGCGGTTCATGATATTATTGTTTTAATACATTTTTCGGTAGACATGTTTTGAATCCTTCTATTCGATGAGCAGGCCATAGATGAGAACAGTTACCTTGGCATTTCTTGGTTGAGTTTTATCCGATTGAAAGCAGCTCAGGCCTAATATTGTATAATTGAAACCAAAACCACCATGGATAATCGTTGCGTTTACTTTCGAATCCAATTGACTGTCATCAATAACTAATATCTGGTTTACTCTAAATTTCATTTCATCCTATAATTGAAGGAAACATATGTATTTAGAAGATATACGACTTTAATGTATTTACCTCGATTGGTGATGCTTCGGCATACATATAGTTAAATAAAGAACAGTTCCAAGCAATGTCAACTTCAGCAATGGGCACTGCTGAAGGATGCAATTGCCCAAATTGAAACGAGTATCCGAAAGTAACGGAAATAAAGAGAATACTCCAAACTGACAGCAGCAATAAAAATGGAGACATGTTCTCATGCCAGACATTACTTTCTAAAACAAAAATCTTATCAAGAAAAAAGGCGCGCATCAAACAGTAGGTCTTATATCTATTTGAAACATTATCTAGCTACTGTACTTTTAATGTAATTGATTCTATTAATGAAAATTGATATGGGTCTATGTAGTATTTTTTTTTTTTCATCTGATAAGAAACTCTTATTTAAAAAAGAAATTATTGACATGAATCTTTCGATATTGAATGTTTGTTGAAATTGTCAATGAAGTTTACATCAGGCACACATTTCACAGCTGGCAACCCATAAAAATCAACATTTCATTTGTTAAGTTTCATAATTCCGGAATGAAGTATCGCATTCCAATAATACGAAATGCATCGGATTTCGTATACTTTCTAATAATAAGCGTACTTCTGCCCATCGTACTGCTTTTCGATGTCATTGTTGTGCTGCCAGAAATCCATGAACCGGACTCTTTCCCATACGATTTTACAATTATAATGGCCCTGTTGATATATTTCAACATACATGGCAATATGATAGCCTGTATGATAATTGCCACCAGCGTTAAATGTGAGTAATATCAGTTTATTCAGACCGCAAAACATATTCAAACATATCCAATCCAAACCTGCAGTTGAGACTGTGAGAGAACCTTCAGCAGCGGATGCCGAACGTTTGGAGTGGCGTCATTGCAAGACTTGCGATCGATTTGCACCGCCCAGATCATGGCATTGTCGATATTGTGGTGTTTGTATTCTCAAGCGAGATCATCACTGTGGCTTCATGGGCTGTTGCATTGGCCATCACAATCATCGCTATTTTGTGTGCTTCGTTTTCTATCTGTTTGTTGGTGCGATTTACGCATTGGTCTACAATACGCTGTACATAGTTGTGTTCACTGATGGCGTCGCCAACTGCTGGAAAAATGCGCTAGTCGTACGCTTTCCAGCGCACATACCCAGCTGCAGTTTCTGGGTTAATGTACAGATCATAATCTTTGGCCTGAACATATTCACACTGATCTGTGCGAGTATGGCATTGATTCAACAAGTATCCATTGTGTTACGTGGTGCGGTAAGTGCTGAATGTGGTCGTCATCCCAAATACAATTGCGGAATCTACCACAATTTGAGAAGTGTTTTCGGCGTGCGAATGCATCTGGCTTGGATATGTCCCCTAATCGAAAGCCGATTGCCAAGCGACGGTTATAGCTGGAAATGCATTTCTAATAAGGACCTAAAATAAACAGATCAGTTTTAGTCAACAGAAAAATAAAATTGAAAGCTTAGTTCTAAAAAAATTGTCTTAGCCAGTTGGTACTTCGAAAATGAAGAATAAATTTATATAGATATCAACCCTTACCTATTTGAAAATAAACAACAAGATTTCATTTTTTCAGTCTGTTAAATGCATACAAATGTTAACAGCGAAATACTTATTTCGATAGTCATCGATTATTGCACGCGAGTGTCATCGGTTTTCGATACATGCCCCAGCTGTTCTTGCAGCTCTTATTTAATACACACGTTCGAAGGCAGCGATTCAATTTGGATTGTAAATTGTAAATTGTTAATGAAAATGTTTCGCAAACAATTTGTGCACCTGTCGCGTGTCTCGACTCACCTGCAACGCAATGCAATAGCCCCCTGCATTGCCAGTCCTGCAGCTGAGATGTCAACAAATGTGGCGCCGGCTGCTGCAGATACTTCTTCTGCCGCAACGAATGAGTTTCGCACTGGTGTAACTAATCCCGGCGAGCACTCAGAGCTGCATGTGGCCAAGTTCTATACGATACCCGTTGAGGAGAAGAAACAAATTTTCAGTGGCGGCGGCCTGCCAAAGCAATACGAGCAACAGATCAAAACATTCACCGAGGCCTGCTTGATGGTCAGATCTCCAGCACTGGAGCTGCTGCAGTACATCAAGAATGCGGATCTGACGAACCCAGCGGTCCGTTACGTTCTCTATGGTGACAATGGTGTGGGCAAAACTCTGACTATGGCGCATGTGTTGCATTATGGTGCACTGAATGAGTTTCTGTTGGTGCATGTGCCCTGGGCACCCAACTGGATGAAGCGACCCAAGGAGGCGGCCAATTCAGCGAGCCAAGAGGGCTTCATTGATCTTCCATTCGATGCGGCCGCTTGGTTGGTGCACTTCAAGACGCAAAACGCCAAATTGCTCGGCAAACTGCAGCTTAAAACCAGCAAGGAATATGTGTGGAGTAAGCGTGAGAGCACGCCAGCAGGAGCTCCACTAATGGAACTGGTGGAGCATGGCATTGCACGCATTAAGTATGCATCGGAGACAACAGCGGCGCTACTCGCGGAACTGAAGCAGCTTGCCAGTGCCCGGCAGTGTAAGATAATGGTGGCCATCGATGGATTCAATGCATTCTTTCATCCCATTACCCGCATCTTTTCCGACAACAAGCAGCGTGTGACGCCGGAGCGGATCACGCTGACGCAGCCCTTCCTCGACATCACCAACTACGACTGGACGAATGGTGTGTGTGTTCTGTCCGTGGATAAAATAGCGATGACCGAAGGATATATGGCTTCGTATATGCCACGCTATCTGCTTGGCAAGGATGGCTTCGAGCATTTGGATCCCTTTGTGCCCGTCCATGTCGGCAACTACACGGACAAGGAGTTCTTAAGCTACATCAATTATTATTTGGATCGCCACTGGATCTCGAGAGCGCAACCAGGCTTCGAGGAGCAACTTAAATTTATGAGCAATATGAATCCTTACACGCTAATGCAACTTGTCAGAGGCTTGTAAACTAACTAGATCATCAATCCAGCTCTGTTTTTAGTTTGTAAAAAGTTAATTAAATTAAATAAAGGATTTCAAAATATTTAAACTGACTTCAAATATTTTCAGAAGTAAACTGTAAATCGAATGGGATAAATTATAATGCATAATTTTTGCGTTTTTAGATTGTGGGCGACTTGGATTAAAAATATTTAAAGCTTAATATTTGATTTTAGGCAAGACTCTGATTAACTTTAGTTTTCCAGTCAATATTTTAATTTATTGCACTTGTATCAATTAGGAAATGAATCTAGAATTTCTTCTTCAACGGAATAGTCTTTGGTCTTGGAAATTAGCCCATGAATTAAAATCTTATCGAAATAAAACAGAAAATAATTTAGATTCAAGTTTATTCAACATATTCAATTCAAATTGTGAATTTATTTAACGATAATCAGCAATATATAATAATGCACTGTAAAATAAGTATAATGTGTGTGTGTGTGTGTGTGTGTAGGTGTGTGTGTGTATGTGTGTGTGTGTGTGTGTGTGTGTGTGTGTGTGTAGGTATTGAAATGATGTTTTAGTCGCTTCATAAGCTCGCAGTACGCCCAATCATCACATGCATAAAACATTACAAGTGAATATCTCGGCATACATGTTGTAGTTGTAGTTTTTGGAGAAATGCATTAAAGAAACTCAAACTCAAATAATAGCGCTTTATAACTAACATGTACCGTAATCCGTATTCTTAGGTGTTTTTTTTTAGTTTTTTGGTTTTTTTGGCGTTCGGTCAAAAATCGAGAGTAGTTCTTCATTCATTTCATTTCAATTAACTTCTCGTCTCGTCTCATTCACAAATAATATGGTAAGCTGCAATTTAACATTGTCATCATATTTTGTTTGTATATTTGCATAATTCTATTACAATTTTAGTTGCTTTCAACAACAATAACAATTATGTGTGTGGGGTTTTTTTGCATTCATTTTCATTAAATGTATCTTTGTTGGTTTTAAATATATATATATATATATATATGTGTGTGTGTGTGTGTGTGTGTATCTGCTGATCGTTTTCTGTTTGTTTGTTTGTATGATGTAATAATGCTAAGCTATGTATGTTATGTATCGTATTATAGTAGTCATAATCGCGCTTTCGCCGATATATGTTTAGATTCATGTTTGTATTAATTATTTTTGTTTTTTTTGTTGTTTTTTTTTTTTGTTTTTATTTTTGGTTTATATATTTTTATGTAAATATGTATTGTATGCTTGATTATATGTAGGGGTATATGTATCTTTATGTGTGTGCTTCAGTGTGCATGTGATTAGCTACTACACGCAAATAAAAATCATTTATCTGTCAGTTTTACATGACTTTTTTTTGTTGCAAATGTAACAAAAAAGGAAAAAAGAAGCCTCCTATTTGTGTAATTATAGCATCGGAGAAGAAAATTATAAATAAAAATTGTATGCATTAAGTATACACAAATAAATATGAAATGATGTTGTAAACATTTAATAATCAATTCAATTCAAAAAAAAGGACAAACAAAACAAATTAAAAATCAAGATATTATTTTTTGTTTTTTGTAGGGGGTGCCCCAGCTGGATGAGCGATCCACAACTGTCAAGAGTTGGTTTCCGTTTTACACAAAATGCTCGTAAAAACACAAACAATATAAAAATGGTTCAACAAAAACAGTAAGCTTACAAAAATGGCATCTAACGAGTCTTCCTCCCCCTCAAAACAATCGAAAGCCCAATCATAGTGTTATTCAGTGTGTGTGTCTGTATGTGTATGTGTGTGTGTATGTTTGATTGTGTGTTGTGAGTGTTCGTGTTCATTTGGAGCATTCGTCTACTTAGGCTAATTTCTTAAACGTACAATTTACTCATTTCATTTCATTTCATTTCGTTTTGTTATGTTTGGTTTGGTGTGGTTTTGTCTCCTCATTGTTTTTTTTTTCTTTCCACTTTTCGAAATCTTTTTTGTTAAAGTCAAATGTATGAAAATTGTGTGTGTACTTATTACATCTACCTTTGGAGCAGTGTGCGTGCGAGTGTGAATGTGTGTGTGTGGTTTGAGATTCCGGCTCTGGCCTGAAATCGACCGAAAAGCCCAATCAAATGGCGGCGCATGCACATGCATAATATACTAGAGATGTATATATATATTTATGTATGTATGTATCTATGATTGTATATATATGTATATGCACATTGCTAGGCGGGGCATGCGTTTGGATGAGATGACGACATTGATGATGTGGATGATGATGATGCGGATGTTGACAAAATGGTGAACAAACAGCGAGCGGCAGCAGGCGGTGGCGGCGCATTGCTTCTGTATTATTTCTTGACAAACTGATAGGGGGCGGCGGGACGATAGTGCCGTATATTTGGCGGCACAGTGCCACCGGTGGCAGTTACAATAGTGTTGGCCATAATGCCACCACTGGCATTACCAAGCGCAGCATTGCGTCCATTAAAACTGGCCGAACTGACCAGCATGCAGGGTGATTCCCGTACAATTGTCTGCGGCGGCAATGCGGTATGCATTGCATTGCCCCGTTGGGTAGCTAAAAAGAGATGAGGATTACGGAGAGATAGAGAGGCAGATGGGTTGGCAAGTGGTTGACTACTCACCTGGCACATAGGGCTTTGGCTGGTGGTAGCCATTGTTGTGGGAACGATAATAGACAGTCTCGTCGTTGTGATGATAGTGCGATTGCTGCTGAAACTTTTGTCTGCAAATGATTGATAGATGCATGATTGATTGATTGTTTGACTGATGATAATGGTCACCTGTAGTTGCCGCAGGAGCGATTGTTGCCATTGCCACCGCCGCCGCCGCCACTGCCTCCAGCTGATTGTTGTTGTTGTTGCTGCTGCTGCTGTTGTTGTTGCTGCTGCTGCTGCTGGTGTTGTTGCACCTGGCGAAGTGATAGCTTTTTGGCCGCCTCTGGATCCTCCATGAGCTCCTTATACTGCTGCTGGCGTATATCATCATGCTTATCGGGTATCAGATAGCGCCGAATCTCGGCCAGGGCGTAGGCAACGCGTGCGTAGGCCTCCGCTGGCGGCGCTATGGTCGACACTTCGACATGGAGCGGTAGATTGAGGTGGGCATATTTGGCGTCCGCTGAATTGCGCAACTCCTCCTCGCGGGCACGATCCTTCATCGAGAAACGACCCAATATGACAATCTTGCACTGTGTCTCCTCCTGCAGCCGGCGCAGTGAGTTGCCCTTGGGGCCAAGCAATTTGCCAACATAGTTGAATTTCTTATCCTTGATCGGCACGTGCACCTTCTGCGACAATTTAATCGTACGCTGCTGATACACATCGGCATACTGATCTCTCGTCGGTATCCGGCCATTTAGCTGCACCCGTTCTAAAGCTGCAAAAGTCACACACAAACACAAATATATATGTATTTATAGATATGGTAAGCAGTTGGATTTTGTACCTTCGTCAATAAGTTTTAGTGCTAGTGGATATTGGTTCTCCATGCGGGATCGTTCGCTCATAAGTTCCTGCATATATTTCTGTGCCGATTCGTTGAGACGCGCCGGCTGCGCCTTCTCATTATCCGCTGCCGCATTGTGTTCGTTCTCGTGCTCGCCGTTGGCGGTGCCAGCATTTGCCACTCCCACACACGATCCGCCAGCTGCAGCTACTGCTACCACCGATGTTGACCCTGGGCCGACACGCATTCCGTTTTCCGCCATTTGTCCTGATTTCGCTAACTGTGCACGCAGTTGAATTGTTGTTGGCGTTTGTTACCAGCTTTGGGTGTCGGCACAGTGCGTGGCGCGTTTTATCTTGTTGGCACCGTCGCCGTGCAATCGTATTTATTTGAATTTATCAAATATGTTTGCAACCTTTTTGTGGCCCTAATTTTTTTCTCTCTCTTTTTCCATCAAAGTGTGTACATATTTAGCAGAAAATGGATAAAACGCGCTTTCGCATCGACAAGTGTCCAACCCTGCCAAGCCCAATTTGACCATCTCTAGTCGTGTACTTGTTTTGCACCGATAGTATCGTTAGAGTTTGCATCCAGTGTTACCATGCGTAGTTGACAAAAGTCTACCAGCATTTACTTTTAACTTTAAATGTATATTTTAAGCAGCAAATTAAACAAACTAGTTATTCGAATTTTATTGTATGTATTATATGCATGTAACAGCTCAGAATGCATCATATTAATACCAATAGTAAAATAAACAAGAAAAATACTAAATTAGGCAGAAAAACAAAAAAACGAACGGTAACACTCATTACCCCATACATAAAAGAAATTTTTTTCAACCACATACATTTTTACAATTGTACTTTGACGATTTTTGCGCTTCCCAAACCTTTAATTAGTGACCCATATACTGTTAATAAGTGTGCTCTCAATTAATTAAAATGCCGCGCGACTACGACAGAGACTACAATGAGGACACCGCCGCAGACTACAAGCGGAAGCGACGTGACGACGAGACAACCGGCGCCGGCAGCGCAGCAGACGCTCCCGAAGTGGATGGCAGCCACGGTCACACAGCCAGCCACGCCCCCCTGCACGATACGCCACAGTTGAACGAGAAGACAAATGCCTACCTGCAAGAATGCCTTATGGAGAAGAAGTCACTGGAGAAGAAGAATATTATCACAAAGCGACTGCTCGATGATGGTGCGAATAACTGTGAAAATGGGGAGGGGGAGTTGGGTGGGACACGTAAGTGAATTGTGAATCACAAGGCTTAATCCGATTTCATTTCATTTGCAGAGGTGGAGAAAATACTGGTCAGTGGCCGCATACCAAAGCCCGAGATATATGCGAATGTGTACAGCGAAAAACCAATTAGGGTTGCCCAAAAAGTTCTTTTCCCCATCAAAGAGTATCCGAAATTCAATTTTGTGGGCAAAATACTGGGACCCAAGGGGAACACACTGCGCCAACTGCAGGAGGAGACAATGTGTAAAATGGTCGTAATGGGTCGCAATTCGATGCGTGACCATGGCAAGGAGGAGGAATTGCGCAGCTCGGGCAATCCAAAATATGCGCATCTTAGCAGGGATCTGCATGTGGAGATATCGACAGTGGCACCACCAGCCGAAGCCTATCATCGTCTGGGGTATGCCTTGTGCGAAATACGCAAATTCATGATACCTGACGCCAACGACGACATTCGTCTGGAGCAACTCCGTGAAATGGACGGCAAGGAGCGCATGTACAAGAAATCTCATCACTACTCCAAGTCATATGGTGACCATGGCGCCTACAGCACTAGGTATATATAATTGCTACAATATTAAACTCATTTGTATATGCTTATTTTTATTCAAAACATTCTATATTACTTCTGTTCTCTTCAAAGGACACCTCCGCCAGCCACATCTAAGCCCAAGGTGTATTCCATTCTGGAAAAGGCGCGCTACGTAATGGATGATCCCAATTATGGTATTGTTAAGGCTCACAGGTATGCGGGAATAACTGCAGTAAATATCTACAAATTCCTTTAATATATTTTCTATTAGATCTAGGGATCATGAGCTATATGATCATCATGGTGAATACGACAGATATGCAACGCCGCCGCCGCAGTCTTCGAAGCACTCGAGTCACCATGCCCAATATGACAGTAGCTCGTATGAGCGGGACTATCGACGTGAGTATCATCCGCACTCGTCTTCCTCAACGTATGCGGCGGCCTATCCAGGTAAGGGCGAACGTATTTAGATATAATTAATGTCTTTTCCAGCAGCTGGAATGTTTTCGCATAACGAATAATTCATAAAAACCGCGCGCAACTGTTGACAAAAATCGAATAATTTAACTGCGATAAAAAGCACCAGAAAAAAGTAAAAAAAAAAAACAAGAGAAGCAAATGAAATACAAAAATATATCAAAGTAAAAACGCGTATATCAATTATGATAAAAAGAGAAAAAAACGGAAGCATATATATATCTATATTTAACAAGATTTTAAATGCACTATGCCTGCCAGAGGCGATCGATCAACCAACTCTCCATTCTGACGAACGAAAATCACGAAACTCAAGACAACTGCTAACAACTAACAATATATTCGTACAAAAGCATTTCTTAAAACACACATTCGAAGCAAATCTATCTCCAATTACTCATACATCGAATATAAACAACCAATTTCTACCTACTTCAAATTCAAATTAAAAAAAAACCTGTGATAACACATCAATTTGTAATTGCACTTTTGTATGCAAAACGCAAAAATGAAAAACAAACAAAAATATATATATGTATATGTATTAATTAAATTACTGCTGGGGCTAGTGCATTCAAAACCGGTTAAGCAACATGAATATCTTTTTTTTTTTGTTATCTATCTTAAGACCAATGTATAAAAAGAATTTAACAAATGAAAAACAGAAAGCAAAAAAAAAAAAGCAGAAAACAGAAAACCAAAAATACAAAGTACAAAGACAAAGAAAAACAATTGAAATCTAAACAACAAATGAAATTCTTTCCAAAATAGCAAAACCAAGCAACGGTCGTTCATCATCGTCATATAGACCAACGACATCGGGCTCGGGATCACATTCATCGGCACATTATGAAACTGGATCACGTTCTCGTGAAAGCGTGCGTTATCGCTCGGCTCCATATCCAAAAATGCGCTAATTTATTTCACAATAATCCAATCAACCAACAAAGTTAAGTAGTTAGTATCCAGCAACGAGAGCGACAAAGCTAAACAAAACAAAAAAAAAATTCCATGCAAATACAAAAAAGAAAAAGGAGAATAAAAAAAACATACAACAACAAATATCAAAAATATTTAAAGTCCAATAATCCAACCAATAATACATAAACAAATCTATGCATACACTTACCTAAAAATATATATATGACCTAAAACCAAACAAAAATTTCAAATGCAAAACCTATTTTATAGTAATTGTTGTTTAAAATATTTAATTTGTGTTAAACCCAAACAAAAAAGAAAAAAGAAAGAAAATGCAAACCCACAAAACAAAAGTTAATCATAATAATGCAACAAATCTAGCAAAACAAAAAAAAAATATATATATATATAAATATATTAAAAAGAAAACACATCTATATCAAACTTGAAAACTCTTTGTAAAAATCGTAAAAGCAATTCACATAATCAGTTAACACCTAAGCAAAGAAAGAACAAAAAATAAATAAAATCATTATACACACATCCTTATGCAATCGAAACAACAACAAGCCCCCTAATTATTCTAAACAAAATGTTAGCGTAAGTTTTTGGAATTATTTTTCAATAATAAAAGTTAATATAAAAATAAATAAAAAACAGAAATACCCAACGACAAAGTAAGTATGAAAACGGCTTCAATAAACAAACACACACAAAAAAAGAAAAGAATGCAAAAAAAAAAACAATTAAACTTTTCCGGCTTCGTTGCTGATCAGAGCGTTAAACGTTATACTTTATAAAAAAAATGTGTATTACTTTCTTGTAACGACGGTAAATGAGAAACCACAAAATTCCAATATACTTGATTATTATTTATAATTTTAAACGAATCATGTGCGCTTTAAAGAAATGGGGTGAATAACAATTAATACTTAAAATCAAATTCTCTCTGTTCGACGAAAACACTATCCCAAATAAATAAACAATTATAATAAAAAACAAAACAAATGTGTTTTTTAAAGATATTATTATCCTTTTTGAGGTTGTTCAAAAATGCAATGCACCATCCAAGAATATTAAACTATCCACGGCAGATATGGCTAGTTCCACATCTCTCTTTTGTACCGTCTTCTTTTTGGCCTGTGCTGTATACGTGAAGGACTCTCGTGCCAGGGATTCTATAAACAATTCCACCGCCTTTGTAACGGCAAAAACTGCTTCATTTGATGCAATCTGTAGATCTGGATCCAGTTTCATTATATTTCGAATGCGACCCATTGGCAACTGGGTAAGTTTGCCATCGGGTTCAGGTTCACTCGCCTTGCTGCCATTGCCTATTAATTATAACAGAATTTATACACTGCTCTGTTAAGTTGCTGTTTACGCTTTTTACTTGTTTTGTTTGCCGGTGGACTCATATTCGTTGTCTGATTTGGGGCAGGCGCTGGCTCAGCATCTTCGCCGTCGGATTCAGCAGCAGCCGCCTCTGTATTCATTTCTTCGTTCTTATCCAAGTCCTGTCCAAAGTCTGGCTCCTCGGAGTAATCATTTTGAAACAAATCCTCGCTTGCCATTATTTGTAGTTTACTATGGTGCTGTAAATATTAATACACGACTGCGTCGGTCGCCGCCAAAATAGTATCGATATATTGTCGCTGGCATCGATGACAATATGCACAAGTTTCGATCACTGTTGTGGTCGCTGAGATATCAAATTTAATCGAAGAAGAAGAGAAGCATTTGCAAACTATTATACACAATTTTCACGTGAATTAAATAGGAAAAAACAAATATTATGGATACTTCAAGTAGTGAATTCAGCGAAAAGCCGGCTGCACATGAGCATCAGCCACGTCTGAATGAAGTGGCTCAGAAATTTCTGGCAGATTTAGATGAGGAACGCCAGCGTCTCTCAGCCGAGTTTCCATTGTGCGCTTTGCTCATCGATGAAGGTAATTCTTGAAAGATTAATAGAGTGAATTGATGTATATGTATATATATTTAACAACAGCCGTGGATCGTGTTTATTGCACTGGTCGCATACCTGGACGTGAGTTTTATGCCGATGTTTACAAACAGAAGCCAATGAAAATCACACAAAAAGTCTTTGTGCCCGTCAAGCAATATCCCAAGGTAGGCTCAAAAGGAGAGCTATAACGTTATATATTTATATCTATATATATGTATGCCATATGCAGTTCAACTTTACTGGTAAAATATTGGGGCCCAAGGGCAACTCGCTGCGTCGCCTGCAGGATGAAACGCAATGCAAGATTGCCATTAAAGGACGCAGCTCGATACGCGATCGCAGCAAAGAGGAGCAGCTGCGCAATTCTGGCGATCCACGCTATGCTCATCTGCAAAAGGATTTGTTCCTCGAGGTGAGCACGGTGGCGACACCAGCGGAGTGTTATGCGCGCATCGCATACGCCCTGGCCGAGATCCGTAAGTATCTAATTCCAGACAAGAACGACGAGGTCTCTCACGAACAGTTGCGCGAACTGATGGAAATGGATCCCGAGTCAGCCAAGAATATACATGGGCCCAATTTGGAGGCATACAGGTGCGCCGTACCATATAGTTTCAAAATATAGATATGTATTAATACTTCCTAATCCTTAGATCCGTTTTCGATAAGAAATTCGGTGGTGGGAGCAGCGGTGCACCGAAATACTTGAATCTTATCAAGAGAACAGCGGAAAATCCGCCCGAGTAAGTTACTTGTAAAGTATAATTTTGAATTTATTTTCTGTGAGCGAACAAATTTACAACGAATGGATAAAGGTCTTAACGGATCAGCGTAAACGACAATTGAATTTGAATTAATTTGTTATCCACCACCTAACTGTCTTTAATTTAATCTAATCCAATCTTTTAGAGCTGAGGAGTCTGAAGAGGTGGCCTACGAGTACGATCATCGGATGCCCAAGCGTGGAGCACCATCAGGATATGAATACAACAAACGTAAGTGGATGCATTTTATTTGTGGTTGTGTTTCTTTCAGATCCTTGTATAAGTCAATACTTATTTTTGGAGGGTATTTCCTGTTTTTTTTTTTACCTTGATAATAAAGTAATATTGATTGCATTTTGGACAAACAGTGCAATTGTTATAACATATAATAATGCATTTGAGGCGATGACTAATTTTTATAAATAACAAAATTTCTATTTATGAACTATATAACTATATACCTATTCAAATTGTTGATAACTATAACATATTAAAAATGCATAAATTTTATAGCACGCCCATCAATAATACCAACAAACGCAGCCGCATATAAACGACCTCAGCCATACCAAACTGACATGAAACGTATGCGCGAACCACCCATCAAGTCTTATAAACCGAATACGTACACCATTCTAAAAAAGTATAAATAACACTATAAATGCTCTTAAGAAATAATAAGATGAAAAATATATATATACTTAAATATATATATAAATGAACAAGTAAAGACGATGTAATAGTTACAGCCAACCTCTTAAGAATATGATTAATTGGAAAATCAAGCAAACGTTTCAATTTGTTTGGACCTTGGGTGGAAACATATTTGGAAATTACCAATGCCCAATGCTAAATAAATATGAAAAATAATCTATATATATACATAAAAGTTTAAAAAGAAAAGAAAAAAAACATATTTATAAAAAATTTCAATTTAATTAAATTATAATGTTTACGCGTTATCACAGAACCTGTAAGTTTTGTGTGGTGAGCAGCCATACTTTCAGATACTTTTAACCTACTATTGTGCAGTTAAATAAATAATAGAAATTATAAATTGAAACTAAAAACTAAAAGTCGCATATAAAATTCGATTATAATAGAACTTAAATAACGCCTTCAAGATGAGATTGTTACTAGCAATAGACAGACTATATATAAAACAAATAAAATATATACAACGATGACACTGGCAATCGATAAGTACAGTCTCACATTGTTTATAAAGCAATAAATTTGGATCAATTCACATTTATTGAATATCAATTAAAAATCTAAAGTTTATAACAAAAAAATATGCGCATATTATACAATAAGATAATAAAAATACAAAATAAATTTATAAATTACTTAAAGTTGAATAAATAAATAATATTATCAGCACAATAACAATTATTCTACATTCAATGTAAACTTTTGCAACATTAAATTACATTTACAGCAAGCTGAGATCATTTATTAAGATCCCCGCGAGTCTCGATGGATTAGCAGACGTCAGAAATAATTCAGTTATAGCACTAAGGACATTCCATTTCAATGTCCAAGGTACGCGCACAAGTAAGTTATAGATATTATTATTTTTTAAGATAATTTCTAGTATAATAGCATTTAAGATATATAATATTCATATTTTTTAAAGATTTTCGTTTGGCAATGCAAACGCAAAAAATATGGCAATGCAAAAAATATTTAAATAAATATAAATGAATAAATCATAATGTTTTTTTTTTTACTGGGTTAAATGTGCGGTTAATTTGGGGTCTTAGGCAACCTTCAACGAGGCTAAAAATATATATTTGTTAATGTATACACCGCATACTTTCAGGATGAAATAATTTTTGGCCTGCTCAGTAAAGTCACAAATAAATGCATACTTTTAGGCTAAAAATGATTACTTAAGATACAAAGGTTCACATTCAAGTAGCTCTAATTATGCAATATCCTAGCAGATTTTTGAGCCAAATCGAATCTTGGAAATTGCTAAATGCCAGGATGCTTTCAAAAATGTCCGAGCTATGAGCCAAATCGAATGTCTACAAAAATCGATTTATGACGCAAAAATCCTTACAGATTTTCGAATTGCGTTCAAGAATTATGGAGTCATCTAAGAACCTAAGGAATTCGAATAATTTGGGTGACGCAATTTAGATTGATATTTTAATAATTTTTGGTTAATAAAAGACAATTAAATTTCGTTTGCATAATACAGCTCTTATTTCAATAAAAAATGTACTTATTTGTAAGAATACATAACTAATAAAATACTTAAACCAATTTTGTAATATAAATTGTACATGTATTTAATATATAGAAATCCATTACATTTCACTCTAGCGGAAAACATTCTTGATAAATAACTTGAAGTTCGATTGCTGATCTGTTTTTTTTTGGGGCTACGCACGATAATATATATTGCCGCCTGTAAAGCTAGCAATCCAAATCTGTTTCAATATTTCTTCGCACGGATTAGGGTCAAAGCTTTGAGTGTGCTGCTTCTGCATACGTTCCACTATTCTACGATATACATGGGATGCTGTCTGGAGCTGATTACAGCGGCTTTCCTCGCAGCAGGTTGTGCTGCTCGAGCCAAAGCTGTCCTGAGCAGTGGCTATGGCTATACTCTCTGTGTTGGGTATCATCTGTAGCAAAAATGGAAAATATTGTTAGTCAAAATGCATTTTTATAGATATTGCTTGCAATTTACTTTCTTATACGCAGATATGCAGCACTGATTTGGTATGGTGACTAGAAATGTGTAAGTCCTGCTTAGCGGTGCAGTTGTCGACTGGCGTGTTGTCTGCAGGAAACTAAACATGTTTTCTGAGCCACGCTTGGCTTGTGTCGCTGTTGGCAGCGGCGTTGTCGTCAGCGTCGCTGTCGACATCGGTTCCACCACCCTTGGCCGAGTGTTTGTGCCTGCCAGCTCCTGCTACCATATGGCTGGCATGTCCTGCGCACATTGCGGAATTCCTACCCACTACACATCTGCAGCTGCAGTCGGCCACCGAACTCGTGCTGGTGCGACAAAGAGAGCCAGCGAGTGAATGCATTGTTGCTGCTCTGCTCTGCTCTGCTCTACTCTTTTTAGCCGCCCCTATCCGCTCCACAAAATACAATTCGGCTGCCGTGCTCTATGGAATTGTATAGACCTCCATAAGGGTGGGTCGTCATCGTCATCATCATCATCATCATCATCATCGCAACAGAAGCACACACAAACATTTGGGAACGGCAGCAATTTAAAGTTTTAAAACGGTATTCTGCATTGATTGCATTGCAGCCAATATAAGTCTTGGTGTTGCAATTAAATTAATTCAGGGTGTTTTTTTTTTTTTAAGGATCGAGTTTATTTTACTTGCTCTGCGAGTTTCAAAATATTTTTTTTTAATTTTTGTTGCATCAATTTAAGACACTTGTTACCGTACATTTTATGCATTTGTTTAGTTACTTTGTTCTAAATATACATATGGCTCAACCAAATACTAGTTAATATTGCAATTTATCATATTAATATATTGGAGTTTAACGCAAACTTTTCTTTTGAGATATATATTTGTGTGCTGCAATTGTTATTTTAGCTGGATCTGTTCTTAATTACAACATTTTTTATAATAATGTAAGCTGTTAACTTTCAATTTACTTGTGCATCTGACTTTCTTTTCTAGAACTTTTGTTTTGTAAAATATTTCTTAGAATTTGTCTGCTCTATTTAACATTTTTTCTAGATTGGAATAAGCAATACTTTAAGATCAAGTTTTAATAAGTACAAGGCGAACAACTTTAGTTCATAATTACATATTTTCTAGTTGTAATATGGATATTTCCTCTAACTCAGTTTATCTGATATTCCAAATCCTTTTTCATAAGCATACTTTGCATTTATTATTAAAGCAGTTAAAAGCACTTTGGATATTTGTTAAGAGCTTGTCTGATGGATTCGTGGATCCAATTGATAATCGGGAAAGTGGCAGCTTTAACATAGTAACGTATTTATATACATTCGATCAATCTAAATATATATATATGTATATATATTTGTGTATATATATTTCTTACAGCTAGACTACAATAATAAAGCAACACCTAACATAATTGAAGCTACACTTGAATTGGAAATTAAACCAAGGAATCCTTAACTCAAAATCAGCACATTTAACAACTTAGATACAAGCTCGTCCATTACTGTAAGTCTAATCCTTCTGCCAAAGGACATCAAGTGCCGGTGGTGCAATCTTTAAATGTGTGTGCTCCACATTTGCAATATGCTTAAAAGCGAGCTGTTGCCTGCTGGATAAGTGACAGTACTCCAAGAATCAGGCAATCGACAGCTCTTGGCCAGCTTATGGATGAAGCTGAGCTGGAATCCGAGGTGGGGGTAGGGGCTGTTCCCAACTGGATGGTAATCAGGCGACGCACATTTGCCGGCATCACGTAACACGAGAAATTGTGACCGGTGGCATTGGCCAGCGGCACATTGAGGACGAACTGATTGTCCAGACTGTAGATGGGGATGATTGGCTGAATGCCATTCATGACGGGCGTCTTGTCCCGATACCAGAGAATCACATGACGTACAGCTGAAAGCGAGCGCACGAAATGGGACAATCAAGGCCAGCTGGCACACACCCTTTAATCAATTTACCATCATAGTTTTTAACTGGGCAATCGAGTTTTACATTGGTCTCATTCGGCATCACGTAGACAACACCCTGTTCCTGATCCTTTTCAAAGTATGGCACCATTGTAGCCGCTGTGGGCTTTGCCAAATTGCCCGGCGAACGCGATGAGTCCTCGTCATCATAGGAATAATCTGGACTTTGCTCGCTGGCGTATGCTGAATAGACATAATAAACATATACAAGTGGGATAAGTTATATCAGATAGATATACCAAAAAAACTATATATCAATAAAAAATATAGCATTTTGGCATTTAAAAGAAGTATACAAAACACCTTAGATTTTATTTTATTATATTTATTAAAAATCTTTGGAATTTTTTGTTTTTTAAGAGGAACATTTCTTTTAGAACATAGGAAATCTTAAATGATATTATTTGCATCTCCAAATTGCACAAAGTAAAACATTAATTAAAAAATACATATAAAATCAATTTATTGTTTGGTGATTGAATATTTCAAATGTTTGTTTCGCGGTTTTCATTTTTTATGCTGCCAGCGAAAGACATATTTTTATCTTATAATTAGTCACTTTGTAAAGGTCAAAAAGATGACCCTCATCATAGAAAACGAGTCTCAGTTTTTGTGAATCTTCCTGTTAACTGTGATTCATTAATATTGGTGTCATTTCGTTGTCTGTGCTTGTATTTAAGATGGGCGCGGCAAGGTCAGCAGTCAACACCCTAAACATAACCAGTCAACACACCTGGATAGCGTAATTAAGGCCCAATTATGCATTGAAAACCACAGCAGTTTCTCGTGTCGAGCAATAATCGAGCTTATCCCCAAACATATATATATATATATATATATATTTATATATATATATATATATCGAGTAGGCCTAAGCTTTAGGATTCTCTTCATAGACTCGCTCAACACGACGACAACATAATACCATTAGGTAAAAGGGCGCAGCCCAAAGACTGGCAGCGTGTCGACGCCCACTTTGGATGACTACAGACTACAGGCTACAGACAGAGAGATATACACAAATGCTGTTCCCGTCTCTATGGCTCTTCCTTCAAGTTCCTCACATGCCAACCAACGCCTCGAGCTCGAAACTGCTCGAGGTCATTATAGGTTTATGGGAACAGCCATTTCAAGGCACACGGGAATTGTTGCCAGTCAAAATGAACGTTTTCGGGATTTCAACACGGACACATTGTACACTTGCATACATCTATTGATTTATGTCAAGGATAGCTATTCGAATTGCTTGCGTCATTTGCACTTTGAGTTCATCATCATAGTTTGAGGTCCTGAAATTGCTAAATATCTATATACGCATATACACAGCGTGCGGTAAGTTATTATTTCTATTTATTAACACACATCGAATGTGGAGCGTTTTCTGTGTACTTAAGGCTTGTGGTAGCAACCACAAAGTGGGTCAGCGTTTTAGCAACTGGGAATGTTATAATATACTTATATCTGTACTTGAGATCTATTATAATAAGTAGAGAGCGCATGCACAGCTTTCCAATAATACACCCCACAACATTTTTGATTAATCTATATTTTTTGTCGAGGCTATAACTGTTAAGTGGGTCATTCAAGTCCTTTTGCTCCAAATATGGGCATCTATCCAAGAATGCCTAAGGTCAAGAACAATTATAATCATGACTCAAGAACTGACAGACTAAAAATGACAATCATGCAACAGTTTCCTATTTCCAAGATACTCATTAAGTTTATTAATATCTCAAAATGACAATTAACATAGGAAGCTATTTACAACAGTATTGATAGATAATGCTGTGGGTAACCATTGAATGACTCAAATACACTCATTTCATCGCATTTATGCAACAGCTTCATAACTTCCAATTTAATTATTCAAAGTCACTTTAATCATGCTGATATTTTTAACAATGTGGTCATTCATTCCTTCTATGGATGAGTCTGTTGTGGCATTAATTTGTCCATTTACCCCAAACCACATACACATGTATGAATTTACCCGGCTCAACGGTATCAGCTACAAGTGAATAACAAATTCTATTTATATATATATAAATATCATCGTTTTGGCAGCCAAGACGCGTTTCCCATTAATGTGTGTGTGTGTGTGTCTTGTAAGGAAAGTATCTATATCTATATGCACATACGTGACAAGTATTTTATGAATTTCAGTCCATAATAAATATTTTGCAAATATGTAACTAGATGAATTATTCATAGATTTATATTATTTATTAATTAATAATTACTATTAATAAAAAATTATATAGAAATTCAAATCTGCCAGCTTAGTAACGAAGCAAAGAAGAATCAATATATAATATTATTCCAAGAGATTTCTAAAATATTATATGAACTAAATTCCATTCCAGTCTAAGAGCTAGTTTTAAGTACGAGCAAATTGTAAAGCATATACTTAGGCGTCTTATTTACAAGACATTTTAATCATGCAGCTTGTTCTCTTTTTTGTTTTTAATGTGTAAACTTAGAGTGTCTTTTGGAAAATTAAACTGCAGTAGTTTTTTATCTGTTCAAATGTAAGTGTCGAGGGTCGAAAGGAGAGTGCAATGCTCTTGTGTGAGGGGAAGGGTTGGGATGGGGTTTTAATCCATCGATTTCTTGAGCGCTGCACAGCCAGCGCATTTTGTTTGGGCCTGCATGCAGTTGGCTTATACTTAAGCCGTAAGCACTCGGCACTTAAGGACTCTTGGGATTATATAATTTGAAGGATTGTGTATACAGTAAAATATTTTATTCACCAGCATAAGTGTCATATGGAAAGCTTATCAGAGGCAAAATAACAAAGCAAAAGTTGCCTTGTTATGCAAAGTAATTTTTATCATAGAGTCTCATAAGTGTTCTCATAAATACATATCTGAAATTGGCAGATCAGTCAACATGACGTATGATTGATAAACTAAAAATGTTTTCAGCTCATATTGTTGGCATTTTTATTGGCAGCGGAGAATAGACAAACAAAGCCATCGAAAATAGAAGCATAGCTAATGGATTGGCATTTCGGAATATGAATAGTTTGAATAGTTTGAGAAACAGTACCATTAAACAGATGCACAGATGCTGTATATATATATATTATATATAAAATATGTACATGCAAGTTGTATTAAATTGAAAATATGTATTATGCATATATAGAGGCCAAGAAAAAATGATGCTTCTATAAATAAGTGTTTGATGCGTGAGTGAATTTGGATAATTCATTGAAAAATGTACAAAATAAATGCCGAACTGATGGGCTGAAATCCATCAACATCAAAAACGGATTTAAAGAGTACACTCTGAATGAATTTGAATAATAAAAATATGTGGAATTTGTACCTGGCAGCGTATATAGAGATCCGATGATAAATGCCAGCAATAAGAGACGAGTTGTCATTGTCATTGTGCTTGCGGCAGATATGGAGAGTGTAATTATGATAATGTGGTTTACTTTGGCAGTTGTCTCGTTCAACTCGGTATCCTTTGCAATTCAGATAGAGAGATTTTTATATATTTATATGTATTGCGAAAAAAACGCGAACCGCGAAACCCGTTCACACTGAGCGACACTGAGACACTAAACTTTGCGTGGGTTGTTTTGGTTGTTTGGTCGGTTGCTGCTTCTGCTTGTGCTTCTGCTTCTGCTGCATGCCTCTGCTGTCTGCTGCCTGCTGTCTGCTGCGAGAGGAGAGCACACTGAGCACAACAGCGACGAACAGAATAGGACTGCTCTGAACTGCGAACTGCTCATAACACGACGACGACGACGCCGAGGTGCAGCATAAAAACAAAAACTCAACAAAAAGGAAATAAGCGAAAACTATGCGAATGATGATGATGACTCACAGCCGACTTTGGTTGCCCAGTTGGAAATTGGCTCGCGACTCGAGCAACACTTTACACAGCGTTCCGTGTATTTTCAGACATCTCTTTTTGCCGCTCTGAGTCTCTTTGGAGTTGGGTCTGTGCGTCTTCATTTACCATTGGCATTCATCGCATGCCCATGCGCAAAATGATTTCATCCATCGGGGCAAAAAAGCAACCACAAAATGTAGCCTGAAACGACTCCAGCAAACTCCGCAGTCCGTGGCCTAAATGTCGTAAAACTTGTAACTTATGGAGGGTGCATGGATATGCTATATATATGCATATAGAAATTGCATATGTATTTGCAATATATTTGCAATTCTACACTGTAAAATATTCGCTTACCACGCGGCTGATAATCATCAGTAGCTGGGAGCAGCTGGGCGTATCAATCAGATTTTCGAAATAAATTCATCCAAATACTTTGGCTGACTTTTAATGCAGCTCTTTACTTGAAATAAAAGCTTTTATTTTATGTTGTAGTAATGTTTCATAATTAATAATAGGTAATCAACGACTGCTCAAATATATAAGATATTTTTACTTTTTTATTTGTTTTTAATGTATTTAATTTATGTATCCCAATAGTCCCAATGGGATTCGCCATTTATCGGAGTAGAAAAAGCAGCGAAAAGCATATTTAATTTAGTTATATTTTCAATTTAATTGGGTTATATATGCTTTTAGGATAAATCTTCTAATTTTATAGAACTAAAAGTCATTATTGAATATGAATTAAAACAACAACTAAATTAGTAGTCTGAAAAATGAATTTTACTAGAAAATAAAATGCATCTTTAATTGGAAAAAATATCTTCAAATAGACTGAACTTAGTTTTACATTTTCTGACAAATACTTGAAACTAAGTTTTTGAAATTCTTTTGTAAATTTTATGTTTCTGCTTCTGCTCCTCCTTTACTGTGCAGTGCATTGTTCAATGTGTATTTTATGTTTGCATGGAAGATTGAAATTCTTTAGCACATTTGCTGACACTTTCAATTCCAAACAGTTTTTCGTCATAATTTTGTGTCCTATTTCAGTCAACACTCGCTGCTCTTTTGCACAAACACAGCAGCAAAAACAACCCCCAGCAAACACCCACACACACACACACACACACACACACAGAGGCATACCAACGGAACTTGTTTGGTTCTGCAAATGCATGTGTTCTTGTGGTGTCGCGTTGCCAACTATGCCAAGGAATTGTCGGCATATTAACACGTAAATATAGTTTCTAATGTGCTCTCGCTCTCCCTTTCTATTTCTCTTAAATGTGCCTTGGCGCTCTCTTTGCGGCTGCTGCTGCTGCTCCGAGCAAATGGAGTCTGCGCGGCGACTGAGAAAAGGGATACGCATTTGTGTGTTTGTCTTTAGATATCTTGCATGTATTTTATGCTGACAGCGCACAGCTTTTAACACACACACACACAACACGCACACATAGAATACTTGAATTGTCGCTTGTTGTTTGTTTGATTAATTTGATTCCAAAGTTGTAAAGAAAGAAAATTCCCAGAAATTCGGTGAATGCCGCCGTCGCACAATGTGTCTGTGTGTGTGTGTGTGTGTTGTCTACGTGTAAATATAAATATTTGATTAATATCCACCCATAGCTTAGCTGCAGGCGCGAACATGTGCAACAACCACAGCATCTTCAACTCATCAACAACAAAAAAATAAAAATCTGAATTTTGCGGATGTTTACAAAGTTGGCACCCAAAGGCAACCCCAGGCAACAGAAGACAACAAACAACAACAAGACGAATACATAAATATGAATATACATATATATACACATATATATATATATATATATGTATGAATGCATCATAATGCATCTACAAGATACTCACACTCGTACTCGCACTCGATGCACAATACCCACTTTGTTTTATGGTCGTAGATTAATTTTAATTGTTTGTTTGTCTCGCTTCAGCGTGCTGCATATCATATCAGCAAATGTTGCATTGCATTACGTTGCACACATTACACATTACACATTGCTACATGTGTCCACACGATGAACACAAACATTTTTCTGTTACTGCCACACAGTGGTCGTCATATCATTTACCGCAACTACAACTGCAACTGCAACTGCAACTGTGGCAAGCACAAGCACAAGCACAAGCAGACAACACAAACAAAACGCGACCCCTAAAAGCAGTTGGGGCAAGTAAATCACAGTGCTTGCCCCAATGCAATCAACTGGCTTCCCATGCAAAATGCTGGGAAAGTCGCCTTTTCATTAAGCAAACGGCAAAATGTATCTCTCGGCCCGACAATGTACATCTGTGCATCTGTGTATCTCCAGCTCTCTTCTGGGAACTGTTCAGCACAGCGAGGAGTACATTGAAATGGAAATCGCCAGAATGCGAAGCAAAAACTGTGGATGGCAATGCCCAATAAATTCACAGAATTTAGCACAAGAATGCCTAAATAAGACAAACATGATATAATTATATTTTTTCTCTCTCTGATTGTGTGTGAGCTGCATACCAAATTAATTGCTTACCAATTGCCTTTAATTTAACCTACATTTCATGCCCATATGCATGCATATATTTGTGTATTTATAAGGTATTGGCATTTTATGCTTAAGAAACTTTCACTTAAAATTAATCATATGAACGAGGAACTGCAAGCTCAATTTTGATTAAGCCTGATGAAAAATAATAAATAATAAGTAAATAAACATTTTCTGATCTGCATATTTTGTCAGTCCATTTATGCATTTAATGTAAACATTTATTAATTATAGTTCAACTACTAATCTAGTATTAATTAAGCTTTATAAAATAAAGTCAAACTGTTGATTGATCAGTAATCATATCAGTTATTTGCTGAGCTATAAATCTCGCTTGCCAATCATATTTAGCCATATTCTTTTTATTAAATAAAAGCTTTTATTATAGATTTATTAACTATAGTCCTATAGTCCTACTACAATATTATTAAAACCTTATTAAAAAAAATTCAACCCAGCTGATTGCCCTGTAATCAATAATAATCATATTCTGATCTGAAAATGTCGTTTGCCAAGATCAGCTTTAGACTAGTTGACTACTTTTTTTCTATAAATAAATTATTGTATTAAATTCATTACAGTTCAACTACTACTCAACTATTAATAATGCCTTTTAAAAAGCCAAGCTGATTGCTCGATAATAATAACAATAATAATCTGATTGGCTTTAAATTGTGGCAAAACTGCTTTTTTCCACACCCGAACTAAATTTGAATAACTTATCTGAGTGCAAATATTGTAAATGGCAATTTAATGAGTAAGCAGTTAAGCGACGTATGAATATTAATTATAATGAGTCAATTTAACGCCCTCAAATAAATATTGCCTTAATCAGCCGCTAGAAATAATATAATGATCGTTATATTCATATATTGTACATGTTATAAATATAAATATAGATTTCAATATATTATATCTGCTGTATTTGTCACAAATTAAGAATAATTAAGTGTTCATATATTCTTTTAATGCATCATCCCATAAATGCGATTGTTGGTACACAAATGCTTGTTAAATACAATTTGAGCTGCGCGCTTCTCTTAGCTTAAGGTGTGCCGCTCTTCAGCCAACTCTTTGGCCTTTGCCTAGCTGCCCCCACACTCTCTCTTAGTGGCTCTCTTCAAAATAACGCCGGTGCCGTTGAGTCAGCGGCCGACGTCATTACTTTTTGTACTCTTGTCCCGACCGGTTGCATTTTGCCGAGTGTGCGGCAAAGCAAAGCCGAAACCGAAAAAGCCGAATAACCGAATCTAGCCGAGAGTGTTTGAAAAAATTATTTCATAAATTCGCGCCTCAAAAGACAAACGAACTCCAGATACAAATGAGACGTGTTCGTGCAGTCAAGTTTTGTGCGGAGATCGGAAGCGTTATCGGTCAGCAATAAGTGGAACCTTTTTTCCCCCGAAATTAATTGTGCTTATAACTGTAGTTCGTAATTGTGCAGTGGAAAAGAGTGCAGAGTGAAAGAGCCACAAAGTCAAAACATAACAACAATAATTACGAATATCGCTGGTTGAAAAGTGCTGAATATGTTATATGTAGACCGTTAATTGGGACGCTGAACTCTTTGAATTCAACTGGAAACTAATTACTCGGCAGTAATTGTATTTAGTTTTTTTGTTTTTCTGTCAAATCACAAGAATAACAAACAAGCGACAAAGAGGCAAACGCAGACGTGCGACACATTTTAAACACAACTGTCGACAATATCAGAATATATATATATATTCACAATATACTTTCATATTACTTGCGAGTGTCGAGCAGTCAACAGCGGCCAAAATGGTATCGAGCAGAGTCTTCAATAAGTTTATAATCTCAGCAGTTCTGCTGCTCGCAGGATGTTGCCTGGGTAAGTTGCAAAGATGATCGTCTGATGATCTATTTAAGTGTAACGGAAATCGGTGTCTTAGATTTGTGGGGTTTATGTAAAAGTCGTGCTCTATCTAATCTCGGTGATTATTTGGGACCCTTTGAACTGACTTAATCGCTTCCATCAGATTCACATGCATTGCGACCGAATCGAACATGTAAATAGAAATGATTGTGTGACTGTGTGGAATGTGGCATGTATAGAACAATTTTTGACCTACATACTAGACGAATGTCCATTCGGGTATTCGAATCTCGTACGCATTGAACTTTGAGCATAGTACATATTTCTATATATATATATATATTTGACACAGTGGCATTCTTAGGATTCGGCATTCTCAAGTGATTCATGCTCGGTGCCGAGTATTAAACACTGCGCTCAAAATAGATCTTTATGATCTTCATACTAAATTACAGTCAGTAAATTTCTTGTTGTCTTTTCAGTTGATTCATATTTTATTCCAATTTGTCTAAATGTAAGGTAAATGGGTATTTCCCAACATTTTGGCAGATGCATTCTGAGTGTGTGTTTCATCTTTGACCTGATGCGCAGCTGTTGGCATTAAAAGAGTTCCGCCTTTAAAGGTTAATCAATGTCTGATATATTGCTCAATCAGCTCGTTGATTATGCGAATAGTTTAGTGTTATTGCTACCTCATTGCTGAATAGTAGTGAATAGTAATATTTGCGTTTCATTTAAAAGTGAATGCAGCTCACCGTAAAATGTACAATTTATGGGCGAAAGCTGTCACATTAATGCAGTTATTTATCACGATCAATAAACCGAGTGCAGTTTGCACAGACACACACACACACACAGACTCACACACACACATAAAAAACAAGCACTCCCTCCTTCAATGCGGCACTCAATCAATAGGAAGTGAATATGCCAATTTTGTATGAATGGAAAATGCCGCCAGCTTGGAGAGAGGCAGACCCCCCTTGGCTCGTTGGCCCGCGTTTAGCAAACCATTCGCATATCGGTTACGCTGTTAATTATTCCATAGGTGCCTAATAGGCGACAACACAACAGCAACAACATCGCAACAAGCGACAACAAACAATGGCAACAATAAGAAAGGAAGTGAGCAACAAGGCGCTGCAAGTAACCAGGTAGTTGCAACCAGGTACCAGGTACTCCGAGTGCGAATCTCAACACACCACAGCTCCTTGGTTCGATTTCGGTTTGGGCAAGCGTGAGAATGTGGGTTTTGTGCAAAAAAAAAAAGAATAAGAAACAAAAAAAAAACCCTCTAACTGCTCTAAGCTCGCTAGCCTTTGCTGCAACATAACCCCTTGGCCATAAACAATGCGATTGCAATCGGTTTGATTGGATTGCCGAGGGTGCCATGTAGGGAATTAGGAAGACAGTGTGTTTTACTGGCTCAAGGCAACAGTTTGCTTGAATTATGCACATCAATTTCTGCTTAAATCTAAGACTCCAATTTTCCTGCCTTGACATGGGTAAATAACCGAAAGAAGACCAGAATAAAATGATCATCATCAACCTTATCTGCTGCTATTGTTTGTCTACCATTTTCTACTGTTTCTGCTCCTATTTTGTTGTCGGATGGGGCATTAAATTTCACGAATACACCAGAGAAGATCCTCTTGCTGTGTGTCTTTTGCATAATTCTCTTTCTGGTATTTGCATACATATTTATTTTGGAATCTGTGACTCATGCGCCCCGATAATACCCGTCCATGGTAGATGTTGTGATCGGTTGCAGCTTGCTTGGTATTCGTGGGCATTTAACCAACAGATACGAGATGCAGATACGAGTTTCGTTGGCTTTTGCAGTCTGCTGCTCTTTATGTAAGCCGCTCGATTCATTCGCATTTTCATGTGCGTCTTTCTCATTCGACGACCCGTTCAGCAGCATGGGGGCATTGTGGGTTGGGGTAAGGGGCATGCCGCCAAGCGGCAAAGCGAGTTAAACAAACTCGTAACCAATTCTCGACAATTAAAGAATCAATTTACTTAACAGAGCTGGCGAATTGGTGGCTCATGCTGTTCATGCCACGGCTGCCACTGCTGCCACCGCTTCTGTGTGGTGCGGGTGCGGGTGACGCTCTCAGATAGAGGCAGGGGATACACATACATGTGTGTGCGTTGTGTGTGTGTTTGTGCACTCAACTGGGGCAACAACAGCCAGTCAGCCAGCCAGAGGCGGGTATTATTATTATTTGAGCATGTGTTGGCATGGTGACTCCCATGTGCATGCCTGCAACGAGTACCCCAATACATATGAGTATGTATGAGTGCACTCATAAGTGTACTCTTCTACATAATCGTATGTACTCGAATATGTATGTACATATATATAAAAATTGTGCCACATTGAAACATAAAAATTAATCGTTTTGATCACAATGATAAAGAAGAGCTCTTCACATAGATGATTCAGCTGCAGCAGAAGCCAAGAATATACAAAATTTAAATAAATTAAAATGGTATAATAATGAGTTAAGCTGCAACCATAGACAAGTGTTGGGATCTCTGCTCTGAGTAATTAAATTTATTCTAGAATTGCAGTTGTTTTCGATTCTGTTAATTGAGTCAACAAAAATGTGTTCATCAATAGTTCCGTGAAGTATATTTAAATAACATGAATTTATTTTTATTCAATTGATATTATTGAACAAAAATCATATAAAAATTTTGAACTCTGAAAAGCTTAACAAATTGTTTTTTATAAATAGACAAAAATGTCTTCATAATTGACGAAAATTCTTTTCTCAAGGGTTAAACTGCAACAATGAAAACAAATGCATCATTTGTAGAGGCAATCAAATTTCTATACAAAGTTTGATTGATATTTCTCAGTTTTGCTGTGTTTTCCATAGCCATAAATAACACTGGAGAATAGAAAATAAAAAGCAAAAATAAAAGAACTGCTGTTGCCTTTTGCGCTAAATAGTTGGCGGTGCTGGAAAAGGAGTGTCGCATATTAATTACATGCCACAACCACTTGAATGGAACACGAGACCTGAGCCAACCCAAGCCAAGCCAAGCCAAGCCTTGCCCCAATCCCCCAATCCCCAATGCCCTGCCCTGCCCTGCTCCCCCTCTCACAATTTATACTATCCCCAAGTCACCCGTTCGCATTCCCGACTTGGAATGAAGAGTGATTTTAATATGCGCTCCGTGTAGAAGCCTCGGACTCTGCTAAGTTTCGGCCATCGTTATTACGATGTGGTCTATCGGCCTATTTGATTTGCTGTGTGGATCTACACTCGCATAAATAACTTTGAAGATCGCACTGAAAACAATTAACGAAATATTTTATACATATTTAAAATAATTTATATACAATTGATGGGACTGTGCTCAATGAGAGTTTTGGACTATAACTTGGGTGTTTCCTATCCGATCTTGATGAAACTTCTACAGTTGGTCAATAATATGTCAAGGTACACAATATATTAATTATTCTTTGGGATCTGTCTTGTAAATGACTTTAGTTATATTATATTTGTTAGAAACATAGTTCAAAATTTGTTTAAAAACCCTTTCTTCTTTATAGATTTATTTCTGAACAGGATGTTTGCAATATTTCAAAACTTTCGGAAATACAAAAGAATTTGTGTTTTATTTGATTATCTAAATTCAAGAGAATATTTTTCTCAGAGTGTATATATATATACTAAATCTCCATAGATATGCCAGACTGTGCTATATGGCTTTTGGCTATGTGCCCGCATCCCGAGGCACTTGCCGAGGCAGCAGCCTCGGACTCCCTAAGTGCCGACACGTGCACTTTGGGCAAAAAACGGGAAACATGCTTGTCCATGCCTCTCTCTGCTGCTGCTGTTTCTTCTTCTTCTGCTTCTTCTTGTGTGTGTATAGTCTTAGGCCTCAGGTTCGAGTGTGTGTGCCACAAATTGTTAAGGCACTGGCCTGCCGCTGATCATAACTCTGGCGGGGCACGCACACAATTTGAAATCAAATGGGTCTGCGGCCAAGTAAGTGAAATCAATGTTCTCGTAATGTACAATAGAAACGAGTACTTCTATATTTGGTTGGACGCTTTCGAATGCATAAGTGTAAGTGCATACATATAATATACATTTATGTATATACATATATATGTATATACAAGTAACCGGAGTTTCGATTTGTAATTTATGTTTTGAATACATTCATTTGCATTTCTTGGGTAGGCACTTGATCGCATTTGTGGCTTGCTTTGCTCAATTGAATTTCGATTATGACAAAGTAGGCCCAATAAGTATTTTGATTTGCATTTTCAATCGAACAGCTTTCAATAATTGCCAGAAAAATTCGTTAGACATCTGTCGATTTTTACAGATATAAATTGCAATCCCTTTGGCAAGGCACAGGACACGCGGCCTTTCATCCTCTGTAATTGAATGATGGCGAATTTTTCCAATGTGTGGGTTATGTTTGTCAATGAATGACTCTCTCCCTCTCTCCTTCTTTCGCTCTGTCTCTCTTTCTATCTATGCCACTGTGGTCTGGTCGGGAGTTTGCGCTGCACATCTGCCTTGGGCGAATGCCTTGCGTAGGTAGACCTGGTTTATGGCTGTCCCTTGCGGCCCGTAACCTGATCGCTTTCAAAGAACCAGAATGCCATTATCATTATCCGCTTCGCTTCATGTCTCTATCTGCCACCATGCCACACAAACACAAACAGCATAATTTTCGGCTCGTATAACGCCAGACGGCTAACCTGGATGGGGAACGGGACCGGGACCGGGCTCGGGCTCGGGCTCGGGACAACAACCATCAGGGTCAGTCACGTAGGGGCGGGCAGTCGGCCCGAAAAACCTGACAACAAGAAAAACAGAGAAAAAAATAAAAACAACACAGTCAAACAGACAATCAGGCAGAGAGACAGACAGCCAGGAGATCAAAGATCAGAGCTGCTGAGCGCTTTTAGGCCGCTGGCCCAAATGAGGCACTCGCGGCTTATCAGGTAGTAAAAATGCGGCACTTGGATGACTCCGGTGACTGGCAATATTTCTGGACAGGCTGCACTAACCAATGGTCAACGTCATCTTCATCCGCCTGCGGGTCAGCCCGAGGGGTTATTAGCTGAACATTTTTCAGAATCATTGTGCGTATGATAAATTGTTGTTGGCCTAATTCTGAGTACCAATTAAAACAGGAAAAACAGATACAAAAAAAAAAAAGAAAACAACAACAGCAGCATAAGCAAGATCAACTACAATTGTTATCTTAAGCATTGAAAACATTAGAACTGATTCTCATGAGAATGCAACATTTAACTTTTTGGAGCCCAAGTGTAGAGCATTACATAGGTGTCTTTAATCTAATGATAAGAGAATGTTGTATTAAAAAACTTTCGTTCAGCTGAGTACAAATTTGTAGGCAAGATTTGTTCAAGGATTACACTAAAACCATTATCTAATTATGTGTAAAGCTATAAAGAATTCAAAATATGTAGCTGTTAAATATTTTATCACTTCCAAGAACTAAATCCATAGCAGAAGCTTAACTCTCTCAAATCACGTTGATTAAATGATGAAGTGTAAATTTGTTAAGCAAACCTTTTTATTTGGCTCTTCGTGTCAAGAATGCAAAAAAAATATATATATATATATGTGTATATACGTAACCCTTAAGAGCCTTCATCTCACAAACTTCCTCGGCATTCTCGGTTCATTGACTTTTTCGCGGAAACAGTGGAAACAGTATCTTTTTGTTATTTCTTTCATTTTATGGCTCAAGTTTACGACAAAGAGTAGTCGATGGGGTCAATTCGTGTAAGTGTATGTGCATTTTTGTTTGTGGACTTGTATCCGCACGACTTGCCTCCAATTGGAATGCATCTCAAAAATGTAACAATTCATTAAAAATTCTAGAATCTGCCCCAACTCCAGTGTATACGAATTGCCGATTCGGTGTTCACTCAGCCACATTCCGGCACATGTTTGTGGCTGTGGCTGTGGCTGTGGCTGTATCCGTATCCGCAATGCATTAACTGCTAAGTCCACTGAGCGTTAATACCCTGTACTGAAGACTACACTGGGTGTGTTGTGAGAAAGGTTAAATTAAATTTGCATCTACTTTTACAATTAATACAAATTTGCATCTATGAAAATAAAAAATTAAATACTATGAATACTCCTTCCAATAAAATATGAATGACGTTCGTTAAAGATATGCCAATGGTAACTTTAACTTTATCTATTTAAATTAATAAAAATCGTTATAAAAAAGTCGCCTCTTAACGATTCCTCCCCTTTCGTTACAATGTTTAAGGACAGTTATTGCCATTTAGTTGCGCAGCTTCTTCTGTCAAATTTACAGGGTATGCAGATAGTCAACTACTAATAGCAAAAACGTTCCTAGTTGTTTATTATTATGCGAGTGTCCGATCTCTACGGCAAGTTACAATTTCAACACGCAACGCTGCGCAAGGAAAGCGACAAAAGTGGCTATAATAAAGAAGCATAAATAAATAAGTGTGTGTGTGTGTGTGTGTGTGAGTGCGTGCGTGTGCTTGAGTGTGTGTCAAAGAATAACACATAAAATACAATAGCAACAGAAATAAGAACAATAACACACACACATAAACAAGAAGCTAGAAATGGCAGAAGCGAAATACAAATGTAAATTTAAACTTTTTCACAATCATCATCTGCGGACTCTGACCCCCCCTTTCCCGTCTCCCTCGCCATTGTCGACATTTTGTCTGCAACGCGGAGCGAGGGTGTGATATGTCAGTGTGTGTGTGTGTGTGTATGTGTATCTGTGTGCGAGTGTGCAGTGCAGTTGCCAGAATGAAAATGGACATTGTTGTGAAATGTTTTTCGATTTTGTGTCCACTGTCGACACCACTAAAACAAAGTAGCACAAAGTGACGGCGAAGCCGACTGCGGCGCCAGCAGTAGCAGCTACACACAAAAAAAATTCGCTTGACTTCAGAAAATGTCGGTAATTTTCAAATTGCTTTGATTTATACCCGTAAAATTTGTGAAGAGCATTCGTCATTCATATCAATGACTTATTTATTTATTTTATATTTAATAAACATATTTTCCGAATTATTATGTATTATTTTTTAAAAATTTACTTCAGTTGTTCAATTCTATAAATAATAATTCTCAATATATTTAAATGTGCAGTTCGAAGTTTCGAAATCTTAAAGGTCATTACAGCTAAAAATATTGTTTTTATTTTAGAAAAACTGCCTTGATATTTAGAAATGATGATCTCAATTTACTAAATAAACAAGTCGTGCATTTTTCAAATTTATATTTGAATAAATAAAGGCGTGGTTGCACTAGTGATTTTTAAAATTCTATTGCATATTTTTGTGTGAGTGTAGTTGTCGGGTATAAGCCGTGGCAGCTTTGTTGGCCGCATTCCCCGCCCCCTAATCAAGACACATGCACACATGTGGGTGCGGCGATCGGCCGACCGACACGGGGAGTGGGAATGAAAATGGGAATGGGAATTGGAATGGGTATGGGTATGGGTATGGGTATGGGTATGGGGACTACCGCAGCGTTTTCTCTTTCCATTCGCTTATTTTAATTCTCGCGTTTTTCGTGTGGCCCGCGCACCCGAGTTTGTCTGTGACCCCATTTCCGTGAAATGTTTTCATACGACTTTGACAATATTTATATATGTATATATATGTGTATATTGGAACGATATAAAGGAAATGATGAATATATGATAATGTGAAAGGGGAAAAAGAAAACATTCGTATGCCTTAAGCCGACAGTGCAGCTGGTGCTCAATGTCCCTAGCTGTATCTGTATCTGCATCTGTATCTGTATCTGCATCTGTATATATATATATCGGTAGCTATATCTGCATCGGAAGTGGCGGTGGTGGAAATGAATATGAGCTGCCAACGAACTGTTTAGACAAACATATCAGCACGCTGATGAGCTGACCTAATGCATTGCCAAAAACAAAAATGAAAAAAAAGCCCGCCGTTTTCAATTTCAATTTAACTCGGAGTACAAGTGATTAGCATAGCAGCAGGAAGTGTGGGTCGTAATTGTAAACAAGCGAGCTTTTATAGCCCTATTTTATCACCCTATTGTTTTACCAATAATTTTTTTTTTTTTATAGTTTGAATATGGCCCTCCGTGTAAGCTGCCTCGTTAAATTTCAAATTATTTGATAGTAAAATGATTTTAAATTCAAGGTTGAACGCATGCCGCCCACATTTTAATTGGTTTTTATATTGTCTGTGTGACAATCTTATAGATCGTTAAATATATATAAAGCTTTTATAAAGATTTTTTATGACTACAAAATCAGCAGGAAACACATCAGTTCAGTCTTCCAAATTCTTTGTAACTAGTAAATCGTTTAAAAACTTTATTTTTTGAGAATTTGTGCGATTATTAATTAATTCAACAGATGATAATATTAGTAATGAACTTTCATTTTGTAACTCTTTACAGTCCTTTCATACCCGTCAAGCACAGAAGATGATGAGCTGATGATGAAGGACGATTACGACTACGGTTCCGATGATCAGAGCAGTCCCAGCCAACAGAACAAGCCCACAAGTGTGGCCAAGCCAGCCTCGCCACTGTCCAACAGAACTACGACCAAGACAGGACTTATCGGCGAGGATGTTGTCCTCAAGTGCGATGAATCAATTACAAAGAGTAAGTCAAATTCAACAAATGATAAAAAGAAGACCTGTACAATTATTCTGATCGTTTTAGGTAATGTCATACTGTGGTACAAGGACTCCAAACTCATCACAAGTGGCAACAGTGTGGTGCTGCCCGATTTCAGTCTAAATCCGAGCAACTATGACCTAACAATACTGAGGGCGAGTCCCCAAAATGCTGGTGACTACTACTGCCAGATTATGCCCGAAAAGGTATTAATACACACAAAGGTTATACTGGGTGATCATTCAATGGATGTCATTACGCCGGAGAGCTCCACGTCCGGTCAGAGTAGTTTTCATGGGATTGCGTTCATCTGGCTCCTGTTTGTGGGTTCTGCACCATTAGTTTTTAATTAGTATTAAGCTGAAATTTATATAATGTCCCCTGGGTGTGCTTAGATAAGTACGCTAAAATTGCATTTCTGTCTCCCACTTCTGTCTCCAAAAACAAAAAAAAAAGAAAGAAAAAGCTAATTAAGTAAGTCTTGTTAATCGTGTATTTTTCATTTTTTGTAAAGACAAACGATTTTATTTATTAAAAAACCAAAGTATACAAAAATATCTTGAAACTCTTTTGATTTGCGTTTTGGATTAAATAAATCTGTCCACAACAAAATATTAAATTTAAAAAGGCATCAAGGATTCAAAAATTAGCTAGCTAAAGCTGAGAAGATAAACTTTATTTCAGATTCTGCATTTTCTCAACCCAATGCGAAAGTAAATAATCAAATTTAGTTGATTTGTTGCTTTATTTGTATCGGTATGTATATATTCTTAATGTCGCTTTAACTAAATTAAAATGAAAAAGTTACAATATTTGTTTAAGACACTGACTTTTCTTTAAATATGTATATGTATGTATGTTAACATGTCGGCTCTCAAAATTAGGTTTTGCATTTACGAAAATTCATATGGAACTTTACTGGAAGGCAATCATTTTGCATCGATTGCTGCAATTGGCACGTTTATATTTGTTGTTTCAATACTAATATTATGATTCTTAAATAAAATATAAGTATACAAAATATATTCCTATATTCATGTTTTGATTGTAAGTATCAACGATTCTATATGGACAGCAGATTGCATATATATTATGGCCAATGGCAATTTCAGGTATTGTAGCGAACATATTTCAATCGAAGCCAAACAAATAAGCGACTCATCCTCCTCTTCTTCCAACTGATTATCGATATTCAATATTATTACATATAGACATAAGTACTGTTTAACACATTCTTTTTGTTTAATCTTGCTTAATAACTACTAAGTATCAACCGGATTCCTCAATACTCCCGAAAATTATGCCAAATTCAAAATTGAGAATTTTTCTCGTAAAAAATAGTGCACATATGTATGTATGTATATGTGTGTGTTGTGTGTGTGTGGTGTGTGTGTTGTGTGTGTGTGTGTGTGTGTGTGTGTATGTGGGAAGGTACACATGTATTTGTATTTCTAAGCTTTGGTCTAGTGTTATCGTAATATTTGAAATGTTCTCGTAACTCGAAAACATATATACATATTTATTAAATAAAAAGTGTTTTATATCTTAACTCTCGATTATACTCTCATGGCTCTATACAAAACATGTAAGCCCGCCTCCAAATCACTAGATCCTCATTTACCCATTTCATCTTTTTTGTATTTTTGTTTTTGTTTTTTATATATTATTATTATTATTTACATAAGTAAGTGCTTTTAAGTTCAGTATCTATAAGTGTGTGGTGTGCTTGTTCATCTGTTCAGGTAATTGGGAAGTTAATCCTTCGGATTCTATATAAATCGTCAATGTTAACTACTCGTTATTACGCGTACATACAAACAAATAAATATTATAAGCTAGGTTTTGGGCGGTTTTCAACCGATCGTCGCAGTTATTTGAATCTTTAACTTTAACTAAACTAAGCTATATGTAATTCTTACACTCGCCTTACTCTTCTTCCTCCTCCTCCTCGTCCTCGTGTGGATGCTTATTGGCACAAAAGTTGGTTAGCATTTTGCTTTTGATTTGTTTTGTTTTCTTTTTTTTGTTGTGCAATTTGCCTATGCGTGATTTTGATTTTAGATTAACATTAGCATTAACATTAACATTGACCCCGTCGTAACGGGGGCGCATTAGCATTTGCATGTATAATTAGAATACTTGGGTATTTGCAATGGCATTCTTATAAATAAGCTGCTGATTCTTCGTTGCCCAGGTGCCGGGCTTGAGGCAGCACAAGCCAAACAAGTATGCGTATGTAATATGTAATTTGAAATACGTATTTGGATGTCCTGTTCCTGAGCCGCAACGATTCTTAAAGTCGCAGCAGGACTGAGCTGCAGATGGCACCCATCATCATCAGACTCGGCAGTATATTCATTGTACACGCCGCATTCGCCTTTGAGCTGCCCACTCCAAATCCGGCACGTACCAAATCATCTGGCGGCACGGAATCCTCATCCTCATCGGAAACTGCAAATGGTTAAGCGAATGAATATATTCAAGTTGCAATTGTCTCTTAGGTATCCCAATAGCCACCTTCTTCGTCTTTAATGAAAAACTCGTGATCTGGCGAGAAGTTGGACCAGCCCTGAGTGTTCTTCGTCTTGACATGCGCATGCCAGTGTCCGGGCGTCAGTTCCATCTGATGCGTGATCTTCCAGATGCCGCTGTCCCTGTCATGACGATGTGTCCTTATCACCGAGACAGTGCTCCACGTGTACGACTGCAAATTTTGTGAAAATTAGAAAGCCAATTATAATTCTATTAATTCGAAATAAATTAAATCGTTTTTCCTGACAAACGGGCTGAATGTCTAACTGACTAATTGGTGGCTTAATGGGAGGGAATCAAGACTTTCCAGCAGAACCGGTTTAGAAAAGCGAGAAATTTTTAATCACATTGTGTTCTCTAGATTACTGCCGCATTTTAGTAAATATGTTTTATTTATTCCGACATTAATGTAAAATACTGAACATCAAAATTTCAATTGGGAAATTGCCAAACATTTTTAGACGTTTTCCAAAATTAATTTAAAGTACTTTTTCATTTTCATTTACTCAGTAATTACGAAGAACTACTAGAAAATGAATCAAGCTTGTATATCTATTAGAGAAATATTTGAAAAATATACAGAAAAAGATTCGCAATTGTTCCTAGAAAGGTTGGTAAAGTTTAGTTATATATTAAAATAATCTGAATTAAGAATCAATTCCACATAGTATCAACTAAGTCCCAAATTATGCTTTGTGACACTTTGCGGAACTGAAGCAATATATAAATTCAGAGTATTTCTGTTAAGAATTTATATGTAAAATACTTAAGTAACTAAGTCAGTAACTAAGTAAATCCTTGCTTTAGCTTCAGCTTACCCCTGTCAACTTGTAGTCGAGCATGGCTTCCGAGAGCGGCTGCAGACTGCGAACGAGCCAATGCATTGTGACCTTGTTGCCATCGATGGTGATGTTCTCGAACTGGGGCGTCTCTGGGTGATAGCTGAGCTGAATGCGCACATCGCTGGCACCAATGGTGTTCTCAACTTGGCACAGATACTCGCCCAGATCGCTCTCTTCCACATGCTTGATGAGCAACGTGGTGCGATTTTGCTCCTTGTGCAGTGAGTTCCTTATGGAATACTTGTCGGACAGTGTCAGTTTCTTGCCGTCCTTGATAAAGAAGCTAATCGCAATGGGATTGGCACGATAGTTACAGTAAATCTCCGCCGTATCACCTTCCATGGTGTTCACATGGTGTCTATGTGTGGACGCCTTGGGACTGAACTGCACATCGACAGAGACGCTGCCATGAGGTGGAGCAGCACTTCTATCTTCACCCAGACACTGATAAACGCCAGCATTCTCTTCATCCACGTTCTCTAAAACGATGACGCCATTGTCGTCACCCTGGAGCCGCTGACCCTAAACATGTATGAGATGATTGAGATTGAGATTGTGATTGAGATTAGGCATGGATCAGCAAATAGAGTAAGCTGTGATGTGTAAAGGTGACGGATGATGAGCACATACATTGAATGACCATATAATCTTTGCATTGTCGGGCAGATAGGTGCGGCACTCGAGCTTGTGATTGTCGCCCTGCTTGAACGTCTGCGAACGATCCGTAACATCGCGATCGTCGCAGAGGATCGATAGCCGGGCGCCAACACTCAGCGTTGTATACTGCTCCACTTTGTCCGGCAATATCTGACATTTGTAGACATCCGCATCGTCCGATGACACATTCTCCAAAAATAGCGAATTATTCGGCATGATTTTCACCCGAGTGCTAATCACACTCTGGCCACTGGTCAGCATAACGTCGTTCTTGTACCACATCGCCACATTGTTATCTAGAAGAATAGAACAGCATTGTTCAATTAGCTGCAAAAGAGTGTACATTAATCCTACGTACTTCTATAGTTGCGGGCATCACAAGTGAGGGTGACATCATCGCCGGGCTTGGCAGAAACGGTTAGATTTGACTTCTCAAAGTAGGGTGCTGCCACATGTTCCTCAATGGCCATGGGGAAACCTTCCGAACTGGATGGCTCCTCTCTATTATCGTAATCGTAATCATCGTCCTCAGGATCATTGCTATTCTCTTCGTCAATTGGTGTCGCCCGACACTGTTCTGAAGGAAAGAGCAGAAGATTGTGACAAAGTCATTTCTTGTCGTTTAAGTATTTATATGGTTAATGAGTCATTGTTTAGAGTTCGCTCGTAGTCAGCTCTTAAGTGAACGACATGTTTGCCATACTTGTTTACATGGCTGATGCAACTTTAAATTGGAATTGATAAAAATCACACCCCATCAGCTAGGGGAGTGCTCACAACGACAACTTCGACATATGATCGACACTTTTTTTTTTTTTAGAGGAAATTGAGTTATTACACCGGATGTGAATAGAAGGGTGGGCGAATGAATACATTCGAGTGCAAACATTGAGCGAAAGCATATGCCAATATTAGCGTTTATTTGGATAAGCTATTCAGTTTACTATTTAATTAGTTTAAGTGGGATGTAGTATGGCCTTATAAAACCAATTTAAAAGGAAATCTAACAATATTGTCTTAAAATTGCAATCAAAAGTCGCTTTACCCATAGCTCTTAGCTCATAAAAAGAAATATAATTAAAGCTTATATAATAAATATTTAATGCATGATAGCTGCCAATTAAATATTTAATGGTAATCTTAATTTACAGTTTTCCAATTACAGCCTTATATATTCAGCAATTATACACAGCTAAAATTGAACCATAAAAGAAATGAGTTTTTCAGTTAAGGCCGCTGCAATCGTAATTACCAACGATAAAGACAATGGCTTAGACTTTCGGCCATCCATTGTGGGTTAATGTTCAATTTTGGCATTAGACACACGTAAGCAAAGTCAAAGTCATAATATGTAAATTGAATGACGAATTTATAGCTGCGGCTTTGATTATCGATAATAATTTGCATACCATATACAAATGTTGGTTTTGGACGAGCTCTGAGTAATTTGATTCAATGACGTCTAACGGCAATTCCAATCTCACGACTCAGTGCCCACGTCAATGAGTCATGGCGATGCCATCGTCATCACACTTAACCACTCTATGCTGCATTTAGCCACACGAATCGTTGCTGATGTGTTGCAAGGTATGATTACGCAATCCACACCAAAAGATACTTCAAATTCGCTTCAGGTCGTTATCACGAGTAGATAAAAGTGTGCGTTCGCCTTAAAGAGCTTGCAATCAACTGGTAAAGATACTCATAGAGTCAGAGCCAGTTATCTTATCCAATCCCCTGCCTGTCCTATCCACAGATAGGCAGTTACCCCTTTTATGGCAGTTGCCTATGAAAACGAAAACAGCTTCTGTCATCTCACAGTCATCGTCGGCGTCGGCGTCGTCGCCGTTGGTGGCCAGCCAATTGCCAAGCGACGAGAGGCCGGAGAAGAAGACGAAGACCGAGGCCGACACAGACACGGTCACCCAGACCAAGAGCAAGAGCATGCGACCGAGACTAAGACCGAGACCTTCACCGCCACCAAATTGCAATCGTTTTTCGTTGCTCATTTTTGGTCGCCTAAGTCAAGGCCAAGTGTATCGATACACTTGGAGAAAAAGCATAAATCCTCTCATTTTAAAACGGTTTGTATAACTTGTGTATATATATTTATAAAGTCAGGTACATGTTTAATTGAAGCAATGCTTTTGGTTAATTTAAATCAATCATATCAAAAATTAATCAGCTTGAAACTAGAACGCTCAACATTTGCTCAGAGATTTGCTTAGCTCATCTTTTTTTCTTTATCTCACTCCTTATCGGTCCAGATCTCTATCTCTCTTCTTAATGTGTTGCTAACGCTTAACAAATTATGATTGGGTTGGGTTGCTTTCTGGGCTTACCCAATCTTTGCAAAAATGTTGAACTGTTTTTCACAGAATTATTTTATTTGAAATATTCACTTTTAATTTATTATAATTTAATTTGTAACTTCAATTTTAAATTTTAATTAAAATGTTTTCTTTTTCAAGCCCTTTTTTGCAAATTGTTCAACGTTTTTTAGTCCGCATTAAATAAATAAAAATAAATCTTTGAGTATTCTTGGTATACTTGATTTAAGTATGTTTGACCTCATCACACTTCAGATTTAGTGAGCAACACATTAGCACTTCTTGCGCTGTTGTCCAAGAATTTAAATGAGCCACTTTTTTCCTGAGTGTATGGTCGCACAACTTAGCTCCAGTTGGTCCACTTAATTTCCCAGCAGTCTATTTGCACTCGCGCAAGTGGGTCAGCTCAAGGGGAGATGTTGCATGCCTGGGCGGGGCTGCTTGCCACATGCGTCAGCTGCTGTTTCGAGAGTCCTCACTCCGTTGCCGCATTGTCCTTGGATCGATGTCTGGGGCAGCTTCAACTCAACAGTCTGCCATATGGATGCTTCAATATTTTGCCCTCCCCAACTGCCTGCTGCAATTCCAAATGTGGGACAATGGCGTCAGGACGTCGTGGCGCCAACGAGCCAGAATCCTTTACACACTCCAACCCCGCCTCCGCACCCCCAGAACCACCCTGCAAAGTCACTCGAGAGTTCGCACTTTTTAATGGCGCACGCATTGGGAACACAGACTGTCGACTGACGACATTTTGCTTTTGCTGCCGTCAGCAATTGGAATTTCAGTCCTTCTCTTTCTCTCTCTCGCTGTCTCTCTCCCTTTTGGTCTTGAATCCCTAACTGTGCCAAGGGATGTGAATGCAATTCGTTATGCCATAAGAAAAGTATATTTATCAGGAGACCAAATTCAATGCCATTTTATTGCATTACTCATACGCAATGGATTGCTTTCAATTGATGGCCTTATATTTGGACCCAAAAACATGCAATAAAATGTTCTTGTTTATTTATTTTATGGTAAGTTATTCATCTTATCGTGCCCATGCATCTTAAATAACCTTGTACATAGCTGTCAAAGCTGTGAGTAGTAAATATTTAGTCTTAGATTTGGTAAGATTTAGTGAGTTAGGAATAATTTGTGAACATTTTTATTAATAATTGGTTTATTTATGGGCATTAAACTCTCTGCTTGTCAAGTCTAGAATCAAAAATCAAGATTGCTGCGCCAATGAACAGAAACTGCATATATATGTGTCTGTTGGGAATTGACATATCAGTAAGGTCAGTAAGTGGGAAACGGCGCCTCCTCCGGCAGATAACAAGTCTGGCATCGCATCACATCGCATTCGATTCAATTCAAGATTTAGTTCAAGCACGTATATATAATAAATGAATGCGTGTTTTTGTTTTTATTTGATTATCACCATGGTTGATGATGCGCCCACCTCTTGACCATAGCTGCTGCACACAGACACATTGCAACCAATGTGTTATTCCATGTCCTACATATGGTGCTCATACTATATACATATGTACATATTCATATATATATATACATACACGCACAGATACCGCCAAGTTATGGGGTCAGATCGTAAACAAATAAAATGCCATATCTGTCTCGTTGGTATGTCTTGATGTTTGTGTGCTTATAAATAAATATGAACTGATCACTGTTGCTAATTCCGTGTATACATTTTAATTTACCCTCGCCTGTCGATTCCGACAAATGCCCAAATCCGCAATGGCAACAATTGAATTTGCGCTCGGGTAGAAAATGGGGATTGACAGCCTCTGGTGGGACCATAAAAGTGCCAAGTAGTAGTCTATATATATATATATATATGTATATGGACTAATGTTAATAGTTGATCAGCGTGCATAAATTTCGATTGTACATAATTCGATTCAAAGAATTTGCATAGCGACTTAAATGAAAAAGCCGCAACAACAATGAAGGGAGCACATTTGAAATCGAGAAATTTAATTGAAATCAATTGATTTGCCAGAAATACACATATGTATGCAATACGTGCGCACATATGTTTGTATACATATATTTATATATGCATAAGGAAATGTGTTTTGGGCACGGATCAAAAGGGTGTCTGACGTGCATATAGCGAATCGAGTATTTTGATTTCAAATGCGATTTTTCAAACAGAATTTTTTCGACTCGAGCAATCGGCAGGTTAATATGTAATTTGAGAAGCTTCTGTCATACATAAATAATTATTTGGATCCAGTAAAATCAGCATGTAATCGACTATAATTTTAAATTGATCCAAAAAATTCACATTGAATGAAAACAATTTTTTTTTTAAGTATAGTTGCTTGTGGCATAGAAAATGTTGTGCAGAATTTTTTAAAATAATATTATATTTGAAATAGTAGCTTCAAAAAGTTTAAAAATAAGTAGGACAATAGAGTGTTCGACGGGCAGATACCCTCTAAATGTAATGCCAATTCGTGTGCAATGTTAAATTCTTTGCACACATTTCTTCTTAACAAACATAATTCGTGCAGCTGCTTAAAGATCAACATGCGTCAAATTTTGCCTGCTGGCAATTATTGATGCAACAGCTAAATTTCAAAATATTTACATAGACATCAAAAATATGCTTTGAACTTATGGTTGTTGTTGTTGTTGCTATTGTTGCTCCATGCCTATTTTGATGTATTTATGTAGTAAATTTTCCATTTTCTAGCATTATATATGCACATATGTGCAAAGTTGTAGCTGGAATTGTATATGGATGTTTACTATGCGCTTGCTTTAGTCAGATTTCGAAAACATGGCGAATGTTGGCTTATCGCATGGCTAAAATTGGAAAAACGCACATTTAATTAAAAATTTTCAATTCGTTGGTGGCCCTGGAAAGGCAATATGTGTGTGTGTGCCTCGATTGTGACCCCTAACCGCCGGAACTCAAATCGGGCAACTGGATCATAGATTGGGGGCAGGCATGCTGGCTGACTGGAAGGCAGGCACTGGCTGCGTGTCTGGCATTAGCAAATATCTAACATAAAACTGCCATTCTTTGCACAACAAATATTTGCTCTACGAAATGGACGGTTTCAGAATCGGGGAACCAAGCGAAGTCGAGCAGAGCAGCATGGCCCACAGCTTCAATAACATTGGTCACACACTCAGAAAAAATGCTTGAGTTGAAAAAGCTGGAAAATTGTTCAGATTCTTGATAAAGAAAAGAACATTTCTAAAAATTAAAAATACTTCTTTTCTATTAGTATTTATGCCAAAGAAAATATTTGTTTGAGAAGAAGTGTAAAATCTTAATGAAATTCGCAATTAAGAAAATAGTAATGAAATTAAATATATAAATTATTTTGTATATGAAATTCTTATTTACTAATTTTTAATAATAATATTAAGAACCAAAGGCAATATTTTGTGCATAAAAACATCCTCTGGAAATAGGCTATATTTTTTACACAACTTTCACTTTAGGAACTCATTTTTTTTTTTTAAATAAGTTGAGTTTCTAAAATGTAGCTTGATTTTTCTGAGTGCATCTATTACAGCCAAGTGAGGCGTGAGTAGCTGAGCTGTGAGGCATGTGGAATGTTTACCGTAATCAACATTTTGCGCCATAACTCTAAACGCATATGAAAATTTAACTTTCAACAATAGATAAGCGTTCTCTCCCCGATAAGATATGCTGCTGACTTCAATTTACTTTGGCTTTGGCTTTGCCGTAAACAAACGTAACCCACGTGTTGCCTGCCTCGAGTTATAAGTACGCACACACACACACACACAGACACAGACACAACATTTGGTATGATATGTGGGCTGGCGCATTGCTCATGGCTATTAATATGGCAGACGCAACTTTGGTAATTCATAATTTTGACACAAAATTACATACCCACATTTCATTGACAACGCCTCCCATTAAAAAAAAACACGCATACTTTTGTAAACAATTGTCGTGTCGAAGAAATATATTGTTTTACTAGCCCCTTTTTCTTCTTCTTGGTCTTCATATTCTTTTTCTGGCTACTAACCTAATAATCACTTATTATTGGACAATGAACGTTTAGAATTTTAATAGACTTTTCATAATCAAAAGATATGGGGCCATACCGAAAAATGCCGCAAAGTAATTAATTTATTTATTTTTTATTATAAAAATATGTAATGTAAATTTATGGTATTCCTATACATTGAATATGAATTTATGGCATATACATTTAAACTTCTCTAAATTCTCTTTGTTGACAGCAAATTGAGTCTTTGACATTACATTTTTAACTAGAAGATTTAGCAATTATTGCTTAACAAATGAATCTGGTCAAATCTAGTCAAGCTGGTGTTGATCTGATTTGTACATTTATTGTTGGCAATCAAGAAAGTTTTTCAAGCCCTAGCTTCAATTTGGGGCGAAGTTATGTCATAACCGTATACTCGATGGTCTCCGTGATGTCAAGGCTATAACAACAGCCGGTTTCCCGCACGCAAACACAATTAGCCTACAAATCAAATATTTGTGCCTGAGAGTTTCAACTTTGTATATTTGAGTACGAGTTTTAAACAAACAGTTTTGCCCAATCGAAGAATGTTGAGCGGCAAAGTACTGCAATTGACATAAATTGCTTATAACGAATAAATTCAATCAGAATTGCGAATTCAATGGGTGTATTTTGATTGTTTTTGTTCTTAATTTAGGGGCGTATACCAGGGATATGCGATTAATTGAAAGTTCCGAATATCTAGGGAGCTTTCAATGAGCACTTAAGCAAATCAGATGTGTACATAAAAATAACACTATCGCATACCAAGAGCAACAAATTAGTTGACTTACCGTCATAAAATAGTCCAATTAGCAGACAACTAAGTAACATCCACGTCGCAGCTCTCATTGTTACCGGTCTCAGTTGAGTTGTTGTTTTTATTATTATTATTATTTTTTTTTTGGTATTCGTATTTGTTTTTGGCAGCACGCACTTTGAATTTCTGTGTGTGTGTGTGTGTGTGTTGTTTGTTGAATTTGCTGCCGCTATCGGAGGTAGTTCGTTAACTGCAATTAATATGTTTTGTTGGAAGTCGATTTAATTAATTTGCCACTAAATTGCTACAACCAATTGCGGCCCCAATCGGGCGCCGCAAAGCCAATGAAACATTTTTCTGATGTTTTTCTTTGACAAATTGTGTGTTTTATTTTTATTTGTTTTTATATACGCAACGTGAGTTGCATGCAACCGGAAGCTCGAATTTGGCCAAAGCCAAAAATCAAAGAGAAGCGCGCGCATAATTTTCGGATTATGGAATTCGAAAACAGTTGTCAAGCACTTAACCAAAGAGACCCCCTAACCCAAAGACGCCAACTTGATTCGCAGCTGTTCGCTAAAAAAAAAAATACGCAAAAAAAATCACAGCTTCCAAAAGAGCACAAAAACAGTTTGGCGCTGATTGGCAGCTAAATGGTAAACATGGCTTAAGTATTTCGCATTGGTTATGCAAGCGAGCAGAGGCTATACGAAGTGTAACTCAATGAATATTATGATCTCAGTGCGAAAAGTGCACTTTGTTGTTGCGGCTACTCCGCTCGCTGGTCAATAATGAATAATGTTGCCCCAAGTCACTTCGGCCTCTCGCTCTCTCTCTCCTTTTTAGCTCTTTTTGCCTCTGCCTCTTGGCTCTGCTCAATGCCACAGAGTGCTGCAAAGTGGGTCGTGTCGGGTCGATGGGGTTGGGTCAGGCGGGGAGGGGAGGGAGGGGCTCTGCTGGGGCAGGGGGCGGAGTGCTCGGGTGTGCCAAGTCGAAAAGCATGCAAATATGTATGCATATTCTCGTACATAAATAAATAAATGTGCAAATGCGAAAAGTCATAAGCGAAAAACAGCAGCTAAAAATTGTTTTAAAAATATTTCTATATATTAACACAACGAAACCTCGACACCCTTTCGATTGACATTTAAACTAATAACTCATATTTTTGGAGTAGTTGACAAAAATTTGCCAGACAAGTCTATTTTAGCTAAGCATGTGTAAAGTTCAAAGCTAGGTTTTCTTTTACCAATTTTGTAAATTGTATTGGAGATCTAGATAAATGTATGAAATATTAAATATATTTTCTCGCAAGTGATGTGGCACACTTATCCGCTTCTGGCGCAGGGCATTAAAATGCAAACATTTAAATAACATGTATGTACATTAATGTTTACACTTGCTACACACATACTAAGTGATGACATATAAGCAAATATGTATGTAGCACATACATATATATATATTTTTTTTTTTGTGCTACTCGCCAAATAAATTTGCAATGCTTCGCGATCAGTTTCTAGTTGATGCATTCGCTAAAGGCAGCTAACGATTACTAAATATGCACTCGAACATTCACATATTCACATTTTGCGAAATACGAATACGAATGTTTGATGATGAACACGTAAATAATCACTTAGCACCCAAAATACATGCGAGTATCTTTTAACTAATCAGCTGCCTTTTTTGTATTGACTCTAAATTTGTTAGTCAGTTTTAATTTGGACTTGGTGTGAGCTATTTCTAGTTGCTAGAGTCAGCTGCAGTTATAACAAACACCTCATGTGACGGCGAGTGTGTCGTTAAAACTCACAGTTATCACAAATGAGTGTTTTCGAATATATATTTATCAATGAGCAAGGTGCAAATGCGACATGACAAGGGCTTTTTAGCTTCTTTCGAATTCGTTCTAGCGAGGGACGTTCAAAAGACTCTTTTTGATAAGCACATTGTGAAAGTTATTTCCAATAGTAAATCTCGAAAGAGAAGCTCAGCAGCAGTTAAAGAAAACAGTTTATGATTGTAATAACTATAATTTTCAATTTAAAGCTGTCAACTTTAAAAACAGAAGAAAATAATTATTCCATTTGTTGAATATTACTTTTCTCATGTCCACAGAATACTTTTTTCTTGACTTATAATTGTTAACAACTTTTTAAAAAGTTGTAAGAGCTGATTTCTTTTTATAATCACAGTATTTATAATAGTCGAATATCCGTCCTGAAAGAAAAATCTATGATTTGAAATATCTTCCAGGATACCAACTTTAAAATGTGCAAATATAGCAGAAAATACAATAAATCTGCAATATTTTGCTATGCAACTTGAAGAAAATGCAATAATTATCCCACTTTTCGTAAGTGAAATTTCTCGTGTCTATAGAATGCTTATTTCTTTTGACGTTTTATAAAAGTTCACGAATCAATGTTTGTTAAAGTCTGAAAGGGCTTTTCATTTGAGTAATGCCAACAATATAAAAGAGCTTTTCTTTTTTTTCCCATCGCTTAACTTCAAACAGAGATCAAATGATATTTTTTGGAATTACAAAAGGAGTTGCGATTGCAATTCCAGACACGAATATTCTCCGAACCGCTCTCGCTCTTGTGCTGGAAATCGTTCGTTCGTTTGGCTTTTAACATTCTCTGCTTGCTGACTTGCTTGTCTTTTTCTTTTTTTCATTTTTTGTTGTTTTTTTTTTTTTGGGTTTTTTGTTTTTGACTTGATGTTGTTCTTGTTGCCGTTTGTTTATTTACATTGCGCTCCAAGTTTACACACACAAAAGCAAGGGCTGTGTGTGTAGCAGCTGCAGCTGCGCTCAGTTTGCTATTACAACCGATTTTTTCTTCGATTTTTTTCCGTATGGAATGGAAGTCGAATATGCCTGAAAATTGAATTGAAAACTTTTGTACTGTAAATAAGAGCAAATCAATGTTTTGCCTGCGGCGTTTACTTTTCAGCTGTCTGTCTGCAGAGCAGTGCTCCCCGACTCCCTCTGCTTCAGAAACTGCCCAGCCTCTTTGCTGCTCCTTTCGCTGCCATATGCTCAATTTCCTTTCTCTGCCAACTTTTTTTGGTGCATTAAATTTTCGTTTTCGCTTTCGTTGGCTGCCCGGCGAAAAAAAGAGAGAGACGACAACTGCAAATCGAGTATTTTACATATTGCACAAACATATTTATAGAATGCACATTTGCATATTGCACAAGTGTGTTTTCTATTTGATTTATTTTTTTTTTTGCTTCTTTTTATTTTTATTTCTGTTTCTGTTTCTAATTGAGAGTGTGCCAAAATTGTATTGGGGGCCGCAAATTCGTAATTTGTAATTCGCATTGCGAATAAATAGCCAGATTTTTTCTAGTTATTATGAATCACTCAACACATAAAGTGGAGTTTTATGTGCGTGTGTGTGAGTGTGTGTGAGTGTGTTGGGGCAGCTGCACCCGCCGGTGGCAGGTAAAAGAATGGCTTAAAGTGAAGTGGCCTGTGTGCCATTTACACGAGGAGCATAAAACTGGTTTGCTTTTTGTGCGACGACTGCTCGAGATGGCGATGAAGAGGGAGAAGGAGAGAGAGATGGAGAGAGATGAAGAGGCAACAACAACAAATATTTCGGTTGAAGCCGCATTACAAAAGGGCAACCTAAACTGAACTGAACCAAACTGCCAGCGACGACATATTGTACGAGGTGTTTTTGATTTACGAGTCGAGGTAACAATAAATTCGAATTGATGCAACTTGAAGCTGGTGTTGTTGTTGTTGTTGCAACAACACTTGCACTTGCAAGCGCTTTCTTTCGCTGCTGCAACATCGTATCGAATTTGTTGCCCCCTTACGAATTCATTTGTTATAGCTTTTGCTTTGGCCCCAGCCAAAGATAAACTACACTCACACACATATACAATATCTACTGTTTGTCTGCGCGCACAAAACAAATTGAAGTCTTCAAGTACTTAATGGATAGGAGTTGAATATTATTTTTATTTCTAGTGCGCTACGCGCTCTTTGCGTACCCGTCGCGATGCTTTTCAAGCGAGAACTGAATTTAAGTGTAGCGCGTGCTTGGGAAGCCCAAAAGCAAAGTAAAAAAGCACATACAGCAACGATTGGAATTGAAACACATAACATCTCAACGGCGCTCTCTCACAGTTGATATTGCTGCTGCTGCCGTTGCTGGTTGGGGCTGATTACTACTGGCTGGCGCAGGTAAACAATTTGTATCTTTCCGCGTTCCTCTTGTGGCGCCAATTTTATCTGAGCAAGACACGGAACAGAGAGACAGACAGAGAGAGAGAGAGAGAGAGAGAGAGAGGGAGGCAAAGAGAGATAAATCCAGAAGATGCTCACAATGTCATTGTCAATTGCTGTTGGCGGTTTTCGCTCGAATTGATTTGAAGCCCTACACCGAATAAATACCCTTCAATTTACCACCCGAGTTGGGAATTTTTGTATGAACAACTTTTCACTCGGTTTAGAAAAGTCGGCAAGACTCATATTAATCTAGAAAGAAATATAACATCATATTTGTTTTTAAAAAACGATAAGACTTACAGCCAATTGAAAAAGTTTCATGAGTTTTTGTTTATTTTTTTTGGAAATAATACTTTGCCTTATCAAATTTAGTAATAATACAAACGGATGTTCGTAGAAGCTTGATTCATTTATTTATCTCTGATATGAGACAAAGTGAGTAAGCCAAATCATTAATCAAATAAAGAGATTATTCACATATATTTTTAACTTAAGACTACATTTATTGGCAAATAAATGACTGTACTGCAATAATCAATTAAATAAGTAAAAGCGTTAAAATATTTGAATTAATATCTTTATGACGCTCACACAAGCAATAAATAATTAATTTTTAGTTTTAATTTACTGGGATTTATAATAAATTGAATTAAACTTCAAAACGTATATTTGAGGTGACCACATATCGATAAATCGATAACCAATTTTTGCATGCGTCGCAAATTTGCAACACTGGCACTTAACAACACTGCACAGTCGACTGCGCGAACCTTTGTTTACAAACTTAAACAGAAACAAACAAAAAATGGACGTGCCTCTCTCTGAATTCAATTCACTTGACTTGGAGCGAGAACTCTACGCTCGCGCAATGGATACCGAAGGCAGCAAGCAGGAGCGCTATGAGCGTCTGTTGGCCGCACGACCGAAAGAAACGCATCCTTCAAAACGAGGTACGATTGCAAAGTTCGGCGCTCGCTTGCAGCTGGGAGATTTTGCTGAAATTAAGGTCTACAATCAGGCTGAATTTGAGTTGTTATCTGGCAAGTTGAAGTGGAGACTGGAGCATGTGCGTCGCACAGAAGACGGCGAGAGTTTGGAGTATTTTCATCCGGACGTGCTCAGTCGCATTGATCGCGCCAAAACATATATGCTGAATATGGATGAGTTTCTGGTGAGACAAGAGCCATATATTCACAAGGTAAGCCAAAGCATTAATCGTCTGAATAGAAGTTTTATTTATGCACATTTTACTTACAGATTTTTGCTATATTCGTATCACGCACTGGCGGTCAGGAACCACATCTTTGCTATGCCCGGAGCCTGGCCAAATTGCGCAGCTGGGATGAAATTACCGAGGAATTTGAATGGCCAGTAAGTGGGATTCGCATTTACCATGATAATGATAATTATTATTATTATTAATTAATAAATTGGCAGCTGATAGGAAGTGAACACATTGCCAAATCCTTGCCCAACGGCGAAATGGATAATACTGAGCTGGAGACGAATGTAAGCTCAAAATTGTAACTTGGAAATGGAAATATAATTATAGTCTAATAATCTTTCTCAATTCTTAGCTCATCACATCCGAGAACATTGCCAAGGCGATGACGTACATATTGACTGTGATTCGGGAGAAAGGATTGAAGAACTTTGTGGCGATAGCTTGTGATCAGAATAGGCTCAGTTTGGCAGCGGTGACAATGCTGGTGGAGGCCAGTGGACATGTAATGTTGCCTTGTGTCTTCGATACGAGCGATCTACAGAAGTCCCTGAGGGACATGTTCTGCTCGGCCTGTGTGCGTTGCTCGGTGCGTGTCTCCAACGAGTTGTATCTGCAGAGTAGCTACGAGGAGCAGCTGAGCAGGATATGCAATAGCAACAGTACGAAGAATATGAATGCAGTTCTGCTGCTCATGGACTATGTGAATCGTTTACCGCAAATCCTGCTCGCCATGTGGCACTTTGAGGAGCATCGAGATAAGCCAATCTCCTTGCTTGGCCTGAACAATAAATTGGTGAAAATCTATGGTTCGCATTTAAGGAGAGAACTGCCACCGATCACATTTGAGAACTGTGCAGCTGGCTCGGGTCTGTTGCAATTGCTTGTCTTCGACGCCTTGTGGCACATATCTCCAGAGCTTGAACCAGAAGAACTCCATCCAAGATAGCTCCATTAAAAGTAAATATCTTGTAGTTTTGAAATTTTATAATCAGTTGCTAATGTATATATATTTATATTAATATTACTATTGTAAAAATGTCTGTAAGAATAGCTTTTATATATTAATTTATTTGTTGGAACGTTGAAATCAGTACAAATGCATTTATTTATTACTTTATGTTATGTGTAACGCATATTGAGGCAAATTTGAATAAATATCGCTAGATATATAAAGCCACTGTATTCACAGGTTGTTGCCCCATTATGGGTCATGCTCGCTGTGAATATCTGTGATCTCTGCGTGATCTCATTGTCAAAGACCTCCTCCGTTGCATCATATTGCAGTTCCGATTCCGTCGAATAATTCGGCAGCTCAACTGAAAGTAAAGAAATGTATAAATTGCCAAAATATTCAAAAATATTACTCTCTTTATTATTATTACCCTCGCCGCCAGTGGCGAATCTGACAATTTTACTGTTGTCGCTCCAGCCAAAGCTGTTCCGGGCCAGAACTGACACCTCAAAGAGACTCGCAGGCTGAAGGCCGTGCAGCGTATAGGATGTTATATAAATCGGACCTAAAATTGAGATAGAAAATTAATTCAAATGTATAGCATTCAAGTTGGATTCTTATCTATGACTAATGTCTGCCAGATTTATGCAGTTTTTGTTTATAAATACATAAATTCGCTGGCAATGCAGAAGCCAAATTATTGACTCGTCACCAAATTACTAAATTTATAAACATATTTTTGCATGCTTTGTTTACATAATCTTTATTTTTTGCTTAGTGTACCCTTAACTGACTTGTATAATAACTTCTTGAATTATTATGAGAATAATATCTTTGGCATGCTCAAATCAGCAGTTCTTTCCTACTTATAATATCCAACAGTTATTATATATTATGTATATAAATGTTATTTTTACTCACCGATTGTCACTTGGGCTGGAATTGTCAGCTCAGTCCAGTTGGTTCTAATAGTCCTTGTTATATTTGCTTATAGAGGATAACATTTATTAATGATCTTAGCAAGTGAAAGTAAAGGTAACTCTTCCAACCTGATGGTATCTGTCGGAATTTCAGTTTGAACTCCATGATGGGCAGCATGCTCTCCGTTTGCCAAACAAGCACATGCGAAGTGGAGCTCTGGGTGCCCGGATTGATCTTGAAGACACAGGGCATGGGTCGACCTGTAAGCTCCACGGTGGCGCTCTTGAAACCAATCGAGTTGCTCGCCCGGCACTCGTATTGACCCATGTCGGATTCACGGACCTTCTTGACGGTCAGCACGTGCTTGACGAGGCTGACATAGCTATCCAAGGCCTGATTGACAACGCCCAGCTCCGTCTCCTGGCTGCTAATGTGAGCGCCAATGGCCACGGGGACACCATGATGGAACCATTGCAGCGTCGCCAGCGGTGCCGCCTCCACAATGCACTCCAGATGTGTTCGATCTCCGACCCGAGTGTAGACAACACTCTGTGGCAACGTCACCTCTGGAGCAACTAGAAAGATTTGGATAACTTGCTGAATGACACAAATCAATTGCAGCAGAGAGCTTACACAAGACTTGGAGCTGAACGCCCGCCACTGCTGGCTGACCCACTTCATTGGTCGCCAGGCACTCGATCAATCCGGCCATGCTACGAGACTTAATCTCAAAGATGTGGCTCTGGCGATTGCCCGAGTTGCTATATTGATCCACAGTGTTGCCATTGAGGCGCCAGCTGATGGACGGCTGTGGCACACCCTTTGCCATGCAGATAACCTCAAAGATGGCGCCAATGGGCAGCTCGAGGATGCCGCTTGGCTCCGTGACAACACTCGGCTCGTACTGCACCTCAATGGCATGTACCTGGACGGCGTGATTGCTGCTCGACATGATCTCGCAGTAGTAGTCGCCAGTATCCTCGGCTTTGAGATTGGACACCTGCAGGCTGCCATTGCCCCACAGCACAATCCTTTCGTTCGGTGGCAAAATCTCCGGATGGCGGGAGTCTACCAAAGGCTGATCATCGCGATGCCATCGCACATAGCGAAAGGGAGCTGTAGATTCGATATAATGAATATAAGCGATTTGATAAAATGATTAAGTCTGCACAAGCTGCACAAGTCAAAGAAAATAAATAAATAAATAAATAAAAAATCATTGCAAACATTCATAATTAAAATATTTTAATACTTTTAAAGCTCAAATTGGCTAGGAGAAAAAAGGGATGCATCTTTTTCTTGTACCTAATTGGAATTATTTTAAATATATAGAGCTTAAATCTTTTAAAAACTGCCTTAAATTCGATTATTAATTGAAATGTTAATTTTTAAGAGATTTTTCTTTGATTGACCCTCTGAAATCACAAACACTTTTTTAATGACATAAAATCAATACATTTTATATATTAATCTACCCTCTTTTGGGGCTTAATTAACTTGTTCTCAAATATCCAAATTCAATGGGCTCTGTCAATAACCCTTTTTAATTGACATGACCTACGATGGATGTGAAATAAATCACTTAATGAAGCTACTTCAAAAACATGCATGTTGACGTTCAATTAATAAAATCCGTTTTCGCGTCTATTAAAGAAAAGAAAAAAAATGTTAATAAAGAAGAAAATCCATTGTGATAAACGAATTTCCTTGGCTGCCTTTTGTGTAGTCATTCAAGGCGCTTTATAATATCAATCTAGAGTCATCTTTTGCTGGCTACCAAATTAAATGTCATTGTTATATCAAATTGTACACAAAGGAGCCATTTCAAGGCCCATTAATAGATGAACAAATTTAGTCATTCAAATGCACATGTTACGTTATGAATTGCTTTTAAAATTAAACATTGAATCTGTATAGTTAAATTAGCTTACTATCCAAATGGCACGGCAATAGAACTGTATCATTTTCATATGATTTTATTGTGGTCGGAACACTTTTAAATTTCTGATTGTTTTCCAGATCATTGTTGAAATTGAGCTCGGCTTTTGAGGGATGCAGCAGGCCAATCAGTAAAAGCGATATTAACAAATCAATGGAGCACATATTGCGGTCACTTGGATTTTAAATTCAATTAGAGAACAGCGATTTAATGTTACGTATTATTCGAATCTATTTCAAGCTAACTATTCCCCTCCAGGCGGACGCGTGTCGCAATTTTTGTTCCGGCGCGCTTCAAGTCACGAGCCCAACTGAACGCTTGAGCTGACGTTGTGAATCTGTGTGTTGTGCTCTGGCGAGGCTTCCCCTAACGGACACTTGAGGCGCAGCAGAGATGCAGAGGCAATGACTGAGGCAGCGAGAGAGGCGTTGATGAAAAGACAGCTCAAAAAGTCACTTGCTCTTTCTTTGGATGCCGGTTGATTAGCTGACATTCAATGTACAGCAACGCAGTTGGGTATTGTGTTCATTTTTTTGGAGTGCAGACATATGTGCAAGCTTGAGATACATATATATATAAATATATATGTAAATATATATGTAAAGTATATATATATCTATAGTATCTATAGATGCATCGAAGCGTTCCAAACGCCCACCACACCAAGCATGTCCATTTGCCATGGGCCATGCATCGCTAGTTTTTTTTGTCCGCATTCTAAATCCGATTCTGATTCTACTGCTGCTGATGCTGCTGTTGCTGCTACTACTGATCTATTACATTCTCCGCTTCACAGAACGTGCTTCTGTTGCATACTCTGAGATAAAATGTCATTGTGCCACAATGGGAAATATGTTTGGGCATCATCATTGTGATCGGATCAGACACATACAATTCACACATTCACATTTGGTCACAATGTGTGGCTCCAAATTCTCCCCCAGTAGAGATGGCCCTCAGTGTCCAAGTGGGCAGAGTTAGGGCCAGGTCCTCCCCTATGTGGCATCGTTAACCATGTATTCAGAATCTGCATTTTTAATAAAAAACTTTTACCGGAAGTGCATTTATACATAAAGGAATACATAAACTGTTTGTCTCGATACAAAATGTTGCATAATAGTAAGCAAATGTGAGCCGCATTCATAATATTTGCAATTTGCATTTCTAAATGGCTCCAAACATTTTAAAAAACGAGCACGATCTGAAATGTTTTGTTCTCTATAAGAAAGCAAATGGTATTTTGGAAGCTAAATTTTGTATAAGTTTCGAATAAGAATCGTGAATTCAAATTAAAATGCAGTCTTACATTTAACACTGTCAAAACTAAACCGATTTTAAAAGTAAATTTCCAATGTTCTACTTAAGAAACTCAGTGTGGAAAAGGATCAAAGATTTCCAAAGCTATAACTGCTTTAAAATCTAAAGGTCGATTTAATTATAATTTGTTTTCTAGATTAAGACTGCATTAAAAATTAGAATCTATGTTAAGAAAATTGATCTAAATATATATAACATTTGTGTTTTAATATTGCGAGTCATAACTTGAACATAAACTCAACCCATTTTCAAAAGCAATTTCCAAGTGGATTCGATTGTGACCTTTAACGTTTTGATGTAGTTCAATTTGAACTGCCCGCGAAAAGATCTGAAATGCGATCGCTTTCAATTAAAAGACAATTTCATCGAATTAATTAAATTAGATGTTGTGGACTTTTTTTTTGAAGGGGGCTCCAACAGCTGCGCAAACAAACTGCAAACCAATTAAAGACGCGTCCGAAAGACTTAACCCGACACATATACAGACACACATATATATATAGAAGGCATCAATGTTCTCATCATCATCATCACATTGGTACAGTTGGGCAATTAGTTCTCATTTGATAAACCCTGGTAGTTCATTGAGTATAGTAAGTATTTATTTATGTTTAACCTGGGCTACATTAGTTGGTTTTTTTGTTCATTTTAAAATTAATAAAGCGCTGAATGCTTACAACCGAGGCATTAGCAACTTATGGTTTTTAAGTGTGTGTGCTTAATATTATCCTTATATAGTAATGGGCATTAAATCAAAGTTTAAACGATTCACGTTATAAGAATGTATGTTTGCATGTGTGGCAATATAAAACATAAGTTAATTTTTAAAACAATTGATGCATATATATTCATTTATACATGTATATAATAACTAATACAGTTTTTCTTTGTTTAACTTAACGATAGTTGAATTACAAAGGATATGACTGAGGACAATCCTATGACTATTTTGTGGTTACAATAAAATGAGTTTCGTACTTCAAAAAATTAGCTAATTCTTGTTCATAAATTATAATTAATGAAACACAGACAATCGCACACACACACACAAACTCACACACACATACACGCAACACATAAATAATCAGATACAATTTCCATCAGTAACAGATGTTGGCTTGTAAAAAAAGGAGTCTTGAAAAACGCAACTGAACCGTCTCCAAGAAGATTTCTTGGAAAACCCCTGAATGAACAGAAAATAATAATATTGGATCGTCCACATATCCAGTACAAAGCGATGTATTCGTAAGCATCGTACAATGTTGTAAATTACGCCTACAAAGTTTGGAGCAGCGTTAACAAAACTTGTCTCTTACAATAATCGATTACGTTTAATTACTCGTAACTCATACTACTAGCCTATGGGGGATGGGGGATAAAGAACGTCGTCATTAATTGGGTGCAACACTAGATTAGGCCGCGCTTCTTTTTGTAATCTTCCAGGTTGAGTGAACGTTTGGACACCGTTTCGGTTGGCTTGTTCGCCGGTTTGGGCAACGCATTGGCGCTGTTCACTATAAAAGGTAAAATATTGTAATTAATATATAAATCTATGTGTATATTTATTATCAGCTCACCTGGCAGCGGCACATCGAGGTCTATATCAAAGTCGTGCAGCGAGTACAGACTGTAGTCCTTGCCATCGCTTGGCTTTGCATTATTGGAAGTACTCGTCTCATTCGCTTTCTTTTTGCCCGGCGGTGGCGGCGGCATCGGTGCCAACAGCATATCTTCATCATCCTTTTTGACGCCACCCTTGAAGCCCATACGGGGCTGGGTGATGCGACGCGTGAACGGATCCGATATCTTCTGGCCTTTGTTGGCACGCGCCTCCTCCATGATGGCCTTCTCGGCATCCTGCACATTGCGCTTGCGATTGCGATCGTTGATGTACGAAATCAAATTGAGACTGTGCGAACGTCGCTTGTCCAGTTCGGAGGCACGGCTCTCCAGCTGATCGATCTGCTGGCCCAGATCGTTGGCGATGTCGTAATCGCCGCGCAGCATCGCCGCGTCGCGTTCCTTCATCAGGCAGGTCTTTTTCATGGCATAGTTGGTGGGTCGATTGCGAAAGCGATTCTTCTCCTCAACGATCTTGTCGACATCCTCGTCCTTGTACTCATAGTTGAGCGCCTTCTTAATGTCGTTGGCTTTGATCTCGATGAGATCAATTGTGGGCATCGGCACATGCGACTGCTGGCAGATATCGACCCATTTGTTGAACTCCGTTTCGGTGAACTCCTGATTCGAGATAAACTCCAGCCGAAAGACACGCTCCTGTGTGCCATGTTTCAAGCGTAGTCCACGATTCGTACGCGTCGTACCCAAACTATAGATTTTGCCAGTTTCCACAACGCCAACGATTTCGGCAACGCGATAAACGGGCTTCTGCCCGTTGTTGCCAATGCTGATGCGCACAAAGCAATTGACGACGGTGCTCTCAAATATGGGCAGATTAACAAAACGCTCCATTTTGAAGCGAGACAATCGCAACTTGTTGAGATCCTCACGGGTGGTTATAAATACGGGATCCTTGGTCGCCTTGTCATCGTCCTCCGATTCGCTGGAGGCTTTGCTGCTGTTCGAACGGGATCTTTTGTCTGTCGGCTTCTCATCGTCGTCCCAGTCACTGCTGCCGGAATCATCGGAATAGATTTCGGATGCTTTCAGTTTCACAGCCGATTTACAACCGGAGACGCTCTCCAATTCCTCTTTATCATCATCTCGATCGCGTTCCGCTTGTCGCTTCGCTTCCTCCTCCTCTGCAAATGCAAATGAGAGAGATTTGTTAAATATATTCGGAAAGGTTTACTTTGATTTGTTGGCTTCACCTCGCTTGGCTTTTCCTTCTCGCTTGGCTTTTAGCATGGCCATTGCGTTGCTGCGCTTGTCATCCGTTTTGTTTGCCTCGACGTTCTTCTTGCGCTCCTTGGAGCGCTCCTTGTGATCAAAGTAATCGGCCACGTCGCTGGCCCTTTGCTCCTCGGCAATTCGCTCGGCGCTGCTGCTTCTGGGTGCACCACCACCTGAACCGGAACTTGCCATAGATGTGGATGGACCCTCGCGCATCGAGGTCAACGGCGGTGACGGACTCTTGGCCATGGTGCGTGGTTCTACTGCGCCACTCTTGCTGGGATCGGTATCAGCGCCGACGGATGCCTGATGCATGGTTGGTGCTACAAGCTCTTTGGCCCTCTTGAGTCGCTTCTCCTTCTTAGACTTCTTTTTGGCCCGATCGCCCTTTGTCTTCGATTTCTCGTTCTTTTCGCCACGGCGGGCGAGCTTTAACTTCCGCTCGATCTCCCAGCGGGTGCGCATAATATCGCGCTGTTCGATTCGTTTGAATATCTCCGTTTCGCGCTCCTTCTCCGACAATCCGTTGAGTCGCTTGCGATCCGCCTCATCGCCCATCAGATCATCATCGTAACCATCGTCAAATTCCGAATCCGAACTCGACGATGAAGAGTCTGAGGAATCTGTGCCAGAGCCGGAGCCCGAGCCCGACGACGATGTTGATTTCGATTTGGATTTATCGTTATCCGAATCACTGTCGGAGACTTCACCCTCCTCCTGTTCACTGTGATTGTCTGCCTTTTTATGCAGTTCGGGTTCGGGACGCTTTTCGATGGGAGCAGGGGCATTTGTTGGCGCTGCCTCATCCTGACTATCGTCGTCCCAATTCTCCTCCGAGGAACTCGAGTCTCTGCTCGTCTTCTTTTGGCGCTTCTTTTTTGAGGCGGGCGCACCCGATTTATTATTAGCCCAGTCCGAGTCCGAATCGGACTTGGAGTTTGTCGCTTTTGTGACATTGCTTGGCTTCTTGCGTTTTCGGGCCACCGACAGCAAGTCCTACATGCAAAATACAAATACAAATTAATATATAGATTTTTACATTTAATTTTTGCGTCGCATTGATTTTTGTTGCATGGCGGCTGCATTTTTTTCGGGGCGTCCTTCCGTATTTTTAAAATTGGCAATACTCACCGATTCCAGGTTGGTGTCTGTGTCGCTGTCACTGTTGCTTGAATTTGAGTCCATTAGAGATTGCGTTCGACGTTTTCCCATACTAATTAAGTAAATTTGTGCCAAACAACAAAGCTAACCTGCAAACAGGGTGAAAATAAATAACTAACATTAACATACATACTACATAAAAATATATACATATATATATATATACAGCGACAGGCCACTTACATTTTGCTCAACTGTTAACGGTTAACAGCGACGACTCATTATTGCGTGCAACAACAACTGCTCCTGCTTTTCTCGAGAAAACTTTATCAAATTATGCAATTCGAATGAAAATTGCGTAAAATCACAAAATATTTTTCGTTTACACTTTATTTATTAATTTCATAACTTTTCAGGGCTCACTACTCAATATATAACAGCTGCTGACTGGCTGTAGTTCGCGTCTGTAATGCTGAATAACATATCGTTGCCAATTATCGATTACAATAGACAGACCAGGAATTAGGCCAAAAAGAGGCACAACTGATTATAAATATTCGATAAGCTTTAGGCAATTGGTGGCTGACTTAATGCTGATAGCTATAAAATCAAAGCGCCAGTTTGTAATTTGAATTTTCAAAATTTCATACGAAATTATTTTACTTGGATAAATTAGGTTAGGTGAAATAATGCTGAAATACAATGATTAAATTATTTAATATATTCAATTTACATACATCTCAAAATCTACTTCAAACATATTTTTGGTAAACTTCAGTTTTGGACAAAACAATTATAGTTAAACAAAAACTGTAAAAATGTTTTGAGTAATTGTCTATGAAGCGGTGCTATTCAGAAACTAAAATGAATATGTATTAGATTAGCTTTTGATACATTCTTTAAATTGGTGGAACATCTAGCAAATCAAATCTTATTATGAACATGCATTTCTTGAATTTATCTGTTTTTTTTTTAAGAATTGTTGGCAAGATAGCCGAGTAATCTAAGGCGCTGCGCTTAGATTGCAATCTACTAAGTTGTAGGTCTGGAAAGGAATTCCGCACTTTCAGTAGATCTGTGAATGCATTCCCTATTTTGCCAGTGAATTGAATGATATTTTTTCTTGATTTATGCATATTCATATATGCAGACTAATTGAATTGTCTCCTTAATCTTGTTAAAATCGTATAATCCTTATGTAACTTTCTCTCACACACTCTCAAATATATCTCATCATCAATTGAAAATGTGTAAATATGAGAGGACACTCGAGGACATTTGAGGGTTTTACGTTTATCGCCGTGAATGTCTTTAGGATGCTTGTTTGTTAATGGTTGTGGTAAATGACACAATTAATACGCTTGACTGCTCCGTCATCGCAGTGAGGTATTTACTGTACCTGTACACAGCCTTGACACTGAATGTGGTACTTTTCTGCATTTTTATGGCATTCAAAATTGTTAATGTTTTTTTCTCAACGGTCGGTCGCTTGAGCTTAAGCACCCCATTTATTACGGCCCACTGGCGATGTCAGCTGCAGCGGCAACTGTAAAAGTAACCAAAAAGAACGATGCCCCCTAGGAAGGAGGCCCAGACTCACCTGAAGTGGTCTCCATCAGTACGCGGGTACAACGGGCAACAATGCGGCGTCCACTAACGTACACTAATGCAACAAATAAATCATGAAAAGTGTGTGACTGAAAGTTGCCAGCACTGAGAAAAAATGAGCAGCAAAAGCAGATAATTTTTTTTGGCTTAGTTTGTTAACTCTGATGCCCAGACTTGGGAATAGATATATTAGCGATATGATGATGGGAGCTGCGGCGATTGGTCTGATACTAGAAGAGGTTTATTCTCTTTTAGTATATTTGCTTGCAAAGACGAATAAATATAATATTCATACATATATTTTTTAAGTGTCTTCGCTTTAAAAAATAATAAGAGGGAGTCTCTAAGAAGTGAATCTGCAATGTGGAAACAGCATTAAGCATTAGATCTCAAGTCTATTCTATAATTTTTAAAATTAATTTTATTATTACATTTATTTGTTAAATACTTTTCTAACAAATTCCTTGAAAATAGTATAAGTTGTATGATAAATTTGTAAAATATATTAAAATAAAGCAATAAAATAATTTAAGTGATAATTTTAGTAGTAGTGTATTTGATTACCTTTATTGTGAACAGTTCACTTGTTACACACCTGATAAATGCCTTTAAAATTGTGCTGGCCAGTTGTTAAGCCTTTTTTGAGCACATCCTCGCTGCAGTCCATTTATACTGCCTGTAGGACATTTAATAAATTATCGGGCATTGATTTCGAATTCGCCATCGAATAGTGGCCATTTCTGAGACAACTTGAATGCGACTGAATACTGACTGACTGCAATGCTACTAATAAAATAAATAGACTACGAAACACGCACACACACAGGCACGCACACACACACACACACATACACAAGCACACACACACACACACACAGTGACTACAAACGTGAATTCGAGCGTGTGAGAGACTTTCAAATGAAATGCTAAGAATTTCATGCTTATGCGTTACGCTCAATGGATTTTGGATGACAGACTGACAGACGGAGGGAGTCGAGGGGAGGGGTGCGCAGAATGCTTCACGGATATAAACATCAAGATTGCGGGTTGTGGAAAACGCAATGACATTTAATGGGATTGGGTCAACAAACGCATTAGTGTGTTCATGGACTGGGAATGAGGATGGCAACTATACCAGGATAAGGACTTTATGGTGCGCACAAATTGTGGCGCATAATTCTTTAGAATGCGCAAAATTTTTGCTTTATTCATAATAAGTGCGGTGAATAGACAACAAAAAAAAGGAACAAATAAGGAATGCTAAATTGGAGAAACACATAAAGAGATATTAATTGGAAATTCATAAAGTTCTGTCTTCTAATTAAGCTATCTAAAAAATATTTGAGATTTATGCATCTTATTCATACCATACAATAATATATATGTATATATATAACAAAATATAAAACGTATAAAACAAATATGTAAAAGGAAACCACAAAAATGAACTCTTAAAGAAAGAGCTCAATGTTATCAAATATAAGTATATTATTATTCCAAGCTTCACATGTTATCTTATCAATATATATATATTTATATGCATATATATATATAATCGAAAAACTGTTCAGAATTTATATGGCAAGCAACAACCGATTTTAACTTGCCCGGATAGCTCAGTCGGTAGAGCATTGGACTTTTAATCCAAGGGTCCAGGGTTCAAGTCCCTGTTCGGGCGATGACTTTTTTTTCCTCGTATCTACGATTCCAAAAATTCTTCATTTTGATTTATATTGACTGCAGCAATTGAATAGCATTAATTAATATGTACATGCAAAGATAAAGTCATATATGAAAACGCAATTAAATCGAAATCTAGCAAAAGATCGTAAAAATGTTTCCTGCATTTGAAATCAAATTGAATTTAATTCGGTAAATTGAAATGCAAAGAGCAGTCACATGGAATGCAGCAACAAATATACACACACACCTACACCCACACTCACACACCCATACTCATACACACACACGTTCACACACACGCACACACTAACACTGAAAGCAACGCCTTGTGGTTTCAATGTCAACAAATAGTAAACTTAGTCGACCTCGACCTACACTGATAACAGCAAGCATAATAAATAAAAGGTTTGCAATATAATATTACATTATATATTACATTAATTATCAATGATGTTTGGTTTACTACAGCCGTAAATTTGTCAAAACTGAACCGATTTGGGGATTCAGAATAAACTTTACTGTAGGAAAAATTAAAAATGATCGAAAAATATATGCATTTTTGCTCGCATGTTTAAAGTGTTATAGGTCTGATAAGAACTTGTTTGCATTTAAGTTGAAACTAAATTAGAATAGTTTACAACACTTATGTACAAAATTCTACTCCATTATATACTCTGCACAACTTCAGTGTCAGAGTATAAAAAGTTTCTAGACTCAAGTCAAGCTGTAGATGCCAAAGTCGAAAGCGAAAACTTTCACTTTGAAGGACACGAAGAAGATACTTTAGAGATGCGCAATCAGAGCGACTGTTAGATATACATGTATACAGACATATGTATAGTCTGATAGCATACAGACAAACATGTAGGACAGGCTGTCAATCTCAGCGAGCGTTGGTTCGCCGTTCGCCGTTCGCCATTCGCCATTCGCAGCTCGGTGGAGCGCAAAGCGGAAATCAGACGCCATATCAGGCGGATATGCTCGACAAGACCGGACGGAAATGAAACGTAAGTGAACATTGCAAAAACAACAAGCTGCCGAACATTGAATTAAATGTTCGGAGCAGCAGTAGCAGCAACAACAACAAAAACAAATACAACAACATTGAAAGGACAACTGACATTGACAACGATGATGATGCCATTGAAGCTGAGGTAGAATGCGGGCCAAGGATTGAGGATTGGGATATACAATAAATAGGAATAGGTAAATATTGAGTATACGCCATCGTAAACAAAACGAGATTGTGTCAACAGTGGCAATAAAAATGCAGTGCCAATAAAACGCATCAAAGCAATTTTACTGTTTTCGTTGCTCCAACTTGACATACATACATATAGGATGGGATACATACATACATCCGTTCATACATACATACATACTGACTTACATAGATTTTTGTTTAACTCTCACTCGCCCAAGTCACTCAGCAAAACTTGAAATCGATTTCGCATTTGCAGTAAAAATGCAAATGCAAACAGACAGCAATAAGAACACAAAGTTTTGTTAGTTGACTATAACAAAAAACACATTTATGTGGATAATGGATAATAGCTGCAACTAGATACAGCTAAATTGCTACTGCAGATTTTCGAGGATATTCATTTCTAACAAATATGAAGAAAAAAAAAAACAGATGAAAGCTACTCATAGCAATCTTAACAAATTGAAGAAAATTCTGGTTATATATAGCTTAAGTAATATACGAATCTTGGTAGATGAGATGTCTACTTGGATGAGTTATGAAAAGAAGCAATTTCTTGAATAATTTTTAAAGTAGAAAATTTTTGATTTTTAATGAAGATTTTGTCAAAGAATTGATAGTGTTTTTTATATTCCTAATTGGTTGAAACTGCTCATAAATATTTTTTTGTAAGAATACATTTTCAAAACAATATAAGTTGTTGTTTCCAAGTGAATAATAATTGTTCAGTCTTCTGTCTGTGTTGAAACATTCAAAGTAGAAACATCAAATTGCTCAGCACAATTCTTTACAGCTTTTGCTGTCTAGTCTTAAACTTTACTAAATTAGCTTAAGTCGCATAGCTGCATTTAGATATAGATATATATGCAGATCAAGCGCATCCATTGTAAATTGACTTGAATTGAATTCGAGTGGTTCTTTAAATGGTTTAACCAAGCAAAAGGGAATCCTGCTTCTTTGTGTTTGCTTGACTGCGACAGTGTGTGCGTGTGTG